CGACACTCCCGCGATTTCACCGACCAGGACCGAGGTTCCTGACGTGGCCGCTACCACCCGCCTTGCCAGCTTCCTCCATTGTGTGGCTGAGTCCGGCCACTGACCAGGCGGCGTCTCGTTATCCTGTGGTGCATGGTGAAATGATGGGGGATGGATGTGAATGGACTGAAGATGGGGTTCCTCCCTTTGGAGTGCGTCGCAGCAGGGTGAACGCGCCCTTGTTACATAGTGTGGGCTTACCCCTGGGTTGCGGGCTGAGCTCTCTATGTGGTGCAAATTGCCCCCCTTTGGTGACGTAGGATGGGCCCCCCTTGTGGTGTGGGGGGCCCCCCCCATTGTAGGGGGCAGTGGGGACTGGGGGGTGGGCCTTCCCGTGAGCCCCTCCCCTCTCCCCTCCCTTCCCTTTGTCACGGGGGCGTGGTCCCCCTGGTTCCGTCTCGATCTGCCGCAAAGCGGTGGCGAGGCGGCCCGTGGAACTGCTCCAGGGCGCACTGTCAATCTTGTGGGCTGCCTCCGCCCCCGGGCCGTTGCCCCTGGCAACTCGCCGGCGTCGCAGGCAACTGGTGACGTCACGCCCGCCGGCGACGTCACGCCCGCCCGCGACGTCACGCCCGCCGGTGACGTCACGCCCGCCCGCGAAACCACGCCCGCCCGCGACGTCACGCCCGCCGGTGACGTCACGCCCGCCCGCGAAACCACGCCCGCCCGCGACGTCACGCCCGCCGGTGACGTCACGCCCGCCGGCGACGTCACGCCCGCCCGCGACGTCACGCCCGCCCGCGACGTCACGCCCGGCAGCGAAACCACGCCCGCCCGCGACGTCACCTCCGCCCGCGACGTCACGTCCGCCCGCGACGTCACCTCCGCCCGCGACGTCACGTCCGCCCGCGACGTCACCTCCGCCCGCGACGTCACGTCCGCCCGCGACGTCCCTCCCGGCCTCGGCGCGACTCCCGACGCGGTCTCCGGCCCCGGCGCGACTCCCGACGTGGTCTCCGGCCTCGGCGCGATCCCCGACGTGGTCCACGGCCCCGGCGCAACTCCCGGCGCGATCCGCGACACCACTCCTGGCCGCGACGTCACTCCCGGATGCCACGTCACGTCCGTTCGCGACGCCACTCCGGGTCGCGACGCCACCCCTGGTCGCGACGCAATCCCAGGCCCCGGCGCTATCCCCGGCGCGATCCCCTTCCCCCGACCCGGACAATGGGGACCGGGGAACGACACCGACGGCGCCCACCCCGAGGAGACTCCCGGTAAGTTCGCGGCGTCGGAATTATAATTGCTCGGCCCGACCGAGAGGCCGGGCGGGACGGCGTCACTCGCCTGGATCCTGTCGGCGTTCGGCCCCGGCGGGTTCCAGGTGACGTTGGCGGCCTCCGGCTCTGTGCGGCACCCCCTCGCCACATGCCCCTCTCGACCACAACGGTGGCAGACCCACGGGGCGTTCCGTCGGGGGGGCTCGGCGCGATGTTGTAGAGGCGGCTGCCAGCGACGCGGCGGTTGGTCGCGCCCCTGGTCCCTCTGCTCCGCCAGTCCCCGGATCGCCGCGTACACCTCCCGCAGCGATGGCTCCGTCTCAGACGTCGGGGGTCCGTCCCCAGCTGCTCCACAGGCAGCCTGTGGCGACGGTGCAGGTTCGGCGGTTGGTGTCGCTGGACCCAGTAGCGCCGCGGCAACGGCTCGGCTGTTCCCCCCCGCCGCGCCAGCCACCGGGCCCACGGATGGCGCCCGGCCCATGACCTGCTCGTGGGCTTGGATGGTCCGGGCAGCCCACAGCGAGGTGCGTTCATCCGGCGTCACCACGGGCATTACAACGCCGGCGCGGCAAGCGTAGGCGATGAGGTGCTCGACCACGAGGTCCTCGAGCGCTTCTTCAGCCAGGCGAGGGAAAGCTCTCCTCGCCAACACGAGCAGTGCACCCCTGTAGGCTAAAGGGGATTCTTTAGCCCCTCGCTGGCGATCCTGAAACCGTTTAAAGGCTCCTTCCGCCGGGCAATAGATCTCCCCCAAAGCCTCGTAGGCCGCCTGTAGCGTGGTCTTGCTGTGCGAGGGAAGGGAGGTGTAAGAGGCGAGTGCTTCCTTGCCCAGAACGGATGGCAGCGCTCGTAGTGCCTCTTCGTCTGTCCATTCGAGAGCGTGGAAGGCAGCCTCGAATCGGCGGACAAACTCCTCCCAGTCTTCTTCCTCAGCCACGAACTTGTCGACAGGCCCCAGCCGACGCGGCCGTCCGGCCACCTGCTCTCCGTGTTGGGTGGTTAGCCCTGGGGGTTTTGGCGGGACCGGCGGCGGCTGGCGTGACGAGGTTGATTGCGGCTCTTGCCCGGCCGGCTGGTCGGCCTCCGGGTCCCGTGGCCTCTCCTCCCGTAGTACGTGTGGGGGTGGGGGTCCCGGTGCTGGCGGGCCCCCCATAGGGAGCCTCTGTAGGAGCTCCTGGAGTGCCCTCTCCACGCGGGCCATGCGGTCCTCCATGGGGTCCTCCAGGCGATCCGGGCCCCCTGCTGCTGCTTCTGATAGCAGGCCCCCTTGTTGCCCGGGATGGGAAGGATCCCCCCGGCCCCTGCTTCCTCCTCCCTTGGCTCTTTCCCGCGGGGATTTTTCTTTGTAGCCATGAGATCCCACCGCTGCCACCAGATGTAAAGTAGGAGCCGACACCAGATTGCAGGGGTCTCGTCCTTTATTCCTTTCCTTCCATCCACACCTGTCCCCCAGCCGTCACAATATCGTTCCCGCCAAAGGCCCCTCCTTCCCGCCCGTTCTCTCCTTATATCTCCTCGATCACCCCTCCCACTAACCCATCTATTGGTGGGAATCCTTCCCCTGACACCCCTACACAGCCAACGTCAGTTGAGCGTGGACAATTAGAGCCAAACATATACAAAATAATGTTTAAAAATATATATTTTTATGATAGAATATAGTATTGTCATCAGTATGACATAAGTATACCAAGTTTTCAGTCGATACCACATTGGGAAGTGGGTTAAAATTGAGTTACAAGGTTTGAGGTTACAACACCAACAGACAGAGTGAGTTGAATAAAAGCTTGTAAAAATGCTGGACGTCGTCACGACAGCGCTAGGGTGGGGCTGGGTGGAGTGCGGCGTGGCACGGAACAGTGCGGGACGGTATGGGGTGAGACAGGGCGATGTGAGGTGGGTTGAGCGGGGTGGAGTAGGGTGGGTGGAGCGGGGTGGATTAGGGTGGGTGGAGCGGGGTGGAGTAGGGTGGAGTAGGGTGGGTGGGGCAGGGTAGAGTAGGGTGGGTGGAGCGGGGTGGAGTAGGGTGGGTGGGGCAGGGTGGAGTAGGGTGGGTGGAGCGGGGTGGAGTAGGGTGGGTGGGGCAGGGTGGAGTAGGGTGGGTGGAGCGGGGTGGAGTAGGGTGGGTGGAGCGGGGTGGAGTAGGGTGGGTGGAGCGGGGTGGAGTAGGGTGGGTGGAGCGGGGTGGAGTAGGGTGGGTGGGGTGGAGTAGGGTGGGTGGGGCAGGGTGGAGTAGGGTGGGTGGGGCAGGGTGGAGTAGGGTGGGTGGGGTGGAGTAGGGTGGGTGGAGCGGGGTGGAGTAGGGTGGGTGGAGCGGGGTGGAGTGGGGTAGATTCGGGTCGGGCCAAATCCAGTGGGAGCAGGGCCTTGCAACCTGTGTGGCACGGCAAAGTCCCAGATGTGTCGCGATATTTCTGAATAATAGGAAAGTAAAACACTTCACTATTTTCAAGTTACAACTCTCCTTTCCGTTTAGTGGCCGAACCAGCCCCCACCCCCAACCTCCCATTGTCCCCTCTCCAATGGTCAAGCTGCATTGCTACCAATTTGGCTTAGGGATGTCCTATGAAATTACAACGTAACATTTGTTAAATATAAACATTTGCAGACAAATAGTTGTCCTAAATATGTGGGTGAGTACCTTACATTCTGAAGAGCAAATACAGATCTTTATGTACACTACGACAGAAGAAGCTCAAGTGTAAGCGTACGGTGTAGGATTTAACCACGGGGCAGACGTTTAAAGACAAATTGGCGATAATTATGAGTACGGGAGACCCTTGAATATCGCGGGGTTATCGTTTGCGGCTTCGACCTATCGCGGGCAACCTCTTTGTAGACAACTTTAGCTATTGCGGGGGTTAGTTTTAGCCTTTCACGGGTATATTGCACGTGGAAGTAACAGTATCATTGGGTGCGGGGCGAGGCGGGTGAGGGTAGTGAGGCAAGCCCGTTGCACTTCAACCTTTGCCGTGCAAGCATCTCGCAGATAAAGGCAAAGATCCCCATATAGCCTTTATCGACTGTAGGGGTGGGTGACCAACACCACGCCCGGTCGCCTTTGTCTTCCTCAGAGCGATGTTTACACATCACACTAGGTACTCATTTGAGGCTGAGTAAACCTAGGGGAGACCCAGTGCCGGTTCAGACGTTCGTCACCGACGTTGGCCAGGAGCCGGAATCGAACTCGGGTGGGTAAGTTCATTGCGCAGTGCCCTCACCGTTGCACCACCGCGCCCCACTCGCGGACAAAGACACCAAACCGCTTTGGCTCATCATCATCGGGAAGTATATTATTTATTCCGTATTTATACTCCTATTTATATTGTCTATGAATGTTTTTGTATAATGTTTTTACATGCTTATTTAAATTATTTAGTTTATTTGGCATACAGTACATCACTTATTTCAATTGTGATGTCTATTTTTGGTTGCCGTGTCACTAACTCAATTATTTAGGGAAGGCTTAAGTACTGAATATCGTGGTTTTCGCTTACGCGACACTTTCCAAGAACGTAACCCATGCGATATTCAAGGGTCTCCTGCATTATTTTTTACATCAAACGTTCTATGAAATTGAATAGGAAGCATTCAGCTGCCAATGAGGAATAGAGTTGGCAGGAAATAACTGTGACACGTGCATATAGTGTGGTAACAGTGGTTAAATTGTACATCAAACTAGCATTAGCCTGCTGTATTGCAATGGAGTGAGATTCTCCAGATGCATGGAACCATGCTTACCTCAGGAAGAGCTCTAGAGATTTCAATCGCCACCGCCTGAGTAAATAGAAATACAGATTTGTCAATAAACGTTACCGAAATTCCATAGAAACATGACAAGTGAGACTCTCACTTGTTCCCTGCCACGTTCAGACAAGGGCTGGTCTTCAATGGGCAGGCTCAGCCCTCCTCAGGTGAAGAACAGAGCTATCGGAAAGACAGCGTCCTAATGAACACTGCTAAGCTTGGCAGCGTATTTTAAGCTGGGTGGGAGGAGGAGAGCGCTTTGACAAAGGACTTTACATATCAACAGAGGAATTTAGCATATTGATGACAAATGCAGATATAGGATTAGTCACTCCTTGTGGAATGTGTAGGCGGTGGGGGGTCTCAAAGTCGTATTATGCTAGTGTATTATGTAGGATTATCATAATATGACTTTGAGACCCCCCACCGCCTACACATTCCACAAGGAGTGACTAATCCCATATCTGCATTTGTCATCAATATGCTAAATTCCTCTGTTGATATGTAAACTCCATTGTCAAAGCGCTCTCCCCCTCCCACCAGCTTAAAATACGCTGCCAAGCTTAGCAGTGTTCATTAGGACGCTGTCTTTCCGACAGCTCTGTTCTTCACCTGAGAACGGCTGCTTGCGTTGTGGCCGAAACGTCGTGAGAATTTTATTATGGTTTTTTATTATTATTTTATTATTTCCCTTCTACGTGACTTTACCGAAAGAACCAAGCATATGAATCCCTGCAGTCACGAATACTTTAAATCGAAATTTAGGCTCAGCCTTGTTTCCATACCGTGCTCTGATCGTGCCAGACGATAAGAGTGCTTACACCTCCCCCTCGCCGGGACACCCCACAGCCGTTTAAGCTGCCCGTGACTCACAGGCGAGCCGGAGCAGAGCGGCCAACGCTCTGGGCCAGCGCTATTAGAGTGCGCCACTCGGCAGATTTATCCGGACCCACTCTGGCACCAGTGGCACTTTAACGTGTTCACCACCACTACAGCTGTGACTCTGCGGCCTGTGACCTCACTCGCCCTGCTCAGTGACTTGGCCATCTTAGGCGAAACATTGCAATGTGAACAATTACCAGAGTTATGCAATTATTACATCATTGCACTACAATTTATGGGGGTACATATACCATCGATTTTGGCTGCTTGCTCCCTTCATAGCTAACAAATACTTGGCTAACGTTATAACTGCAAGATGTGAAATTCTTTCCCCAAGGAAGCACGACTCTCAAGTCTGTTTCAGGAGAGCCATACAAAGGACAGTTTGCTAATTCCATTTTCAGATTTCTTATTTTTTACATTTTGCACACATAATCTATTTGTGCAAAACAATTATGCAATAAGATATACATTTCAAGTCTTACACCAAGCATATAGTCCTATAAGATGACACCACGGAACAACTTCTGAAGTCACTCAATAGGCCACTCTCTGTGTGCATCATTCGTATCCTGAAAAAAAGCATCACATAGCAATCAATCCGAAATGTTTAATCCTCAGAGCTGGGTTAAGTGATGAATGAGTAATTGAAGACTCAGTTGAGACCATCAACTCGATACACTAGTGAACCTGGTTTAAGCAATGGTGACTAAAACGTGAACATGAACCCAGTATCCCAGCGGTGCCGGCTCAGAGCTTAGTGACTGAGCGAGCATTAACTGAGTCACCCAGCCATAGGCACCACTGCTTTTCAGTATTGTCTGCATGTACTCTACTGGAAAACCAAAGTGTCCAGAGGAAAGCAACTCAAACTTTGCACCGATGGGTCAGAAAAATACTAACTGTGCTGCCTCTTCCAAGTACCTCTCTGTTAAACAGGTGGGTGTCTCGTGCATGGCCTCACATTTTGCACTGTAAACGTATGCCTTGTACAGGTTATCTGTGATGTGATGACAATACTGGACACCACGTACATGTACCATATTACTTACATTCTTGTACATCTTTTGAATCTTCATGACGTCCAGTGGGCTGAGGCAATCCCGCTGACCAATAGTGGCTGTCTTTGATTTAGGGATGATCGTAGGGCTTATCCCATCCACGGAGAATGCACACCTTAACAGGAACATAGCACATGCATCATCTTCCGCATTTGCGAGAGAAGGCTGCATTAACATACCGCTTTTAACTGTCAGTATATCCGTGAGCTGAAACACATCAGAATAAACTTGTTTTATGGTAGAGGCACTATTTTTGGCAAGATTGTTTTTAGCGATTGATTCAAATAAAGTTTATGCAGTTTCTTAAAACTTCCTACAATAAAAAAAAATTGGAATTAAAATAAAACATGAATCTTACAAAAAATAAACATACAGCACTGATGCATCTTTCAATTTCAGTCATTGGGCAACATTAACAAACCATAGTGTAGTTACCATTCCCATTCCCGTTCTGTGCGAGTTATGGTTGCAAATGATGGCAATTAAACGAATATGCGTGGATATTCCACTAGACAAGCAGCAGCAAAGCTGCGTCCACTGAAGCTGCTGCCTGTGCTGTGAAAACCCAACGATTGGATGGAGCGAATGCACAGCTGGGTCAGGATGGATCATTCCTCTTAATTCACATTCATGCCACTTGTGAGCTGCTACACGGCAGGTGTGCGTGGTGAAGGCATGGGGAGGTTGTGAGGACGCTTTCCATGCTGTACACCAGGGGTCCTCAAACTTTTTAAACAGGGGGGCAGTTCACTGTCCCTCAGACCGTTGGAGGGCCGGACTATAGTTAAAAAAAACTATGAACAAATTCCTATGCACACTGCATATATCTTATTTTGAAGTTAAGAAACACAACGGGAACAAATACAATATTTAAAATGAAGAACAAGTAAAGTTAAATCAACAAACTTGCCAGTATTTCAATGGGAACTATGGGCCTGCTTTTGGCTAATGAGATGGTCAATGTCCGGTTCCATATTTGTCACTGCTAGTCGTAACAAGTGATGCAAGTGTGCATCCGTTAGTCTAGATCTGGTTGGAGATTTCAAATGTTTCATTCTGGAAAAAGTCTGTTCACAGACATAAGTGCTGCCAAAGATGGTTGCCATTTTGAGTGCATGGTTCCTGAGATGAGGATATGTCTCAGAGGGGAGAGATGCATAGAAATTATGAAGGCTGCTTGACTTGAATGCGTCTTTCAGAGAGTCACAATTCTGCAGTTCAGCCAGTTCCATTTGGTAAATTGTATCCACATTTTCAATGTCAATAGAAAATGGGTTACGGAAAAGCTGTATGTCCTGTTCATGGAGATGAAGCTCTTTAAATCCAAATTGGAACTCCTTTTGCAATTTTTCCAGTGAATCCACACATGTTTTGTTTGGGAATGCAACCAATGGTTTTTCCGCTAACAGATTTTGAGTTGTGGGGAGATGGCAGAAGTTTTCCTCCTTCACTTGTTTGATGAGGAGGCCTAATTTTACTTCAAATGCTTTGACATGTGATTGCATATCACAGATGAGCTTCCCCTTTCCTTGAAGTTGCACACTGAAACTGTTGAGTAGCTCTGTTACATCTGTCAGAAAGGCAAGGTGCCATTTCCATTCTGCATCATTGAGCTCTGGTACTTCTTTGTTTTTTTTAAGCAGAAAAGCTGTGTGATGCCGCCGCCACGAAGCCGTTCGGCAGGCGCCAAATCCCCGACCTCGCCACCACCAAGCAACGGAGCCGACCCCGCGTCCCCCTCACCTCACCTCACATGAACACACCCGCACTCATTTCCCCCCCCCCCCATAGAGCTCCGAGGGGAGGTCGCCTGGCCGACCGGTTTTTATCCGAGAAACCCTTATCGGGATTAACTCTCACGGTTTCCGGCGATCAGGGAATTGGATGACCTCCCCCGTGCTACGTTGCGCCGCGGCGCTGCGACCGGCCTTAATATGGTGTGGTCGCGGCGTGGGGCATTCGGCCACCGCGGTTGAGGCGCATTTCCCCCCACACACACCCCCACGGGTCATCGAGGCAAGCAGGGGAAGGACGGGACAGCATGAGTAGCAGGACCGCAGGGGCTCTTGCGCATAGTCACGGAAGGTTGGGATGGTTGCACTTGAGCGCGCAGGCACAATTGTTGGGGAGGGTAAACGATTAAGCTGAAGGTATGAATAGATCGGGAGAGGGGAGGCGCGCGGGGAGCCATGCACAGCTTCCCACGACGGGCCTTTGTGATGGACACCGCCGCATGAACCTCGATGATGGGGGCCTGCGTGAGAAAAGGATTGATTGGAATTTGCGCCGTGCAGGTCGCTCATTGATTAGCGGAACAAAGGCACCGCGGAGCTGCCTGGCCCGGGCGAGGGGGGCGCGTGCCATTGTTTGGAGTTCACGCCGCGCGGACAAAGGATTAATTAGCATAGCGAAGGCGCACGGTGCGTGGGAAGGGGGTAGGGGCCCGGGTCCGGGAATCAGGATAAATGGGGAGCGCAAAGGGGAAATCGCTCTCTTACTCCAGCGCCAGGCGACCAGACGCAGCTCCAGCCAGCGACCCGGACGTCCGTGCGACGCACCGAGGCACGCGGTTAGCACAAGGATCAGCGGACCGCCGTGGACACTTAACAGTGAGTAAGAAGGTGAATTAGAATCATAGCAGATAAATCGGGAATAGGTATAGAGGTATCAGCGTAGGCCAGCCTCGTCGACTCACTGATTTAACATCTAGTTCCAGGTAGCGGATAATAAATCATTAATAGCTGATCGTGGCCTCGTGTGATCTCGTGTTATAAGTGTGAACGCGTGTGGCACGGTGTATGCGTAAGCTCTCGGCGTGCGTAATCGGCGTACCCCAGGTGCGCGATCATAACGTGAGCGGCCAGCGCGGCGCAGAGCGGCGCAAGAGAGGGTATCGCGTGTGGAGCTGTATGTGTGTGCGCGCACGTTCACGACGTGTATAATACAGGTGCGCGATCCTAACGTGAGTGGTCAGTGTTGAGTGAGTGCCGCGCAGAGCTGTGTGTGGGAGTGCGCATACGTTCGTTACGTGTCGGATACGGATGCGCATTGGTAACGTGCCGCACAGGGCTATACTGCGAGCACGGCGTTTGATTGATGATGATGTGCGCACGTATGCTCGCAGCGTGGGAGCGCGGCGCGAGGCTGTAACAGTAGGGGCGTCGCGTTCGAATGCCGGCGAAACCGTAGCGGGTAATAGGGAGGTGGGGTAACGTAAACGGAATAGGGGATGCAGGCGGGAGGGACCCCGGGGGCCAACGGCCCCCACAGCTGTAATCTGTGGAAATAAGTCATAGAAACGTTTCAAAACTCTCCCTCGACTCAGCCAACGGACTTCTGTGTGATACAGAACATCTTCATAGTCAACATTTAGCTCAGACAGAAATTCCTGAAAACGTCTGTGGTTTAGTGCATGAGCTCAAATGAAGTTAACACAAGATGCCACAAATTTCATAACAGAGTCCCACTTCAGTGATTTACTACACAGCGCTTGTTGGTGGATGAGGCAGTGTATGGCTATTGGATGAGAATGGTTATGTTTGTCCATCTCTTGGTTAATGCGAGCAATTACTCCTTTCTTAGACCCCACCATGCTAGGAGCACCATCAGTTGTCACACTGGCTAGTTTAGCCCAGTTCAGCTCCAAACCATTCACAGTTTGGCAAACCTTTTCATAGATATCCTCTCTTCTTGGTTCTTTCGGTAAAGTCACGTAGAAGGGAAGTAATAAAATAATAAAAATAAAACATAATAAAATAATTCTCACGACGTTTCGGCCACAACGCAAGCAGCCGTCCTCAGGTGAGAACCAGGTCTGTCGGGGAGACAGCGTCTGAATGAAACAGCACACGAGCTTGGAGCATATATAAGCTGGGTTGGAAACGGGGGAAAGAGCGCCTTGTCAAAATAATTTGCATATCAAGAGGAATTTAGCATATTTATGGGAAATGCAGGAATGTTATTAGTACTACATATGCAGCACGGGCATATGTAGTACTAATCACATTCCTGCATTTCCCATAAATATGCTAAATTCCTCTTGATATGCAAATTATTTTGTCAAGGCGCTCTTTCCCCCGCTTCCAACCCAGCTTATATATGCTCCAAGCTCATGTGCTGTTTCATTAAGACGCTGTCTCCCCAACAGACCTGGTTTTCACCTGAGGACGGCTGCTTGCGTTGTGGCCGAAACGTCGTGAGAATTATTTTATTATGTTTTACTTTTATTATTTTATTACTTCCTTTCTATGTGACTTTACCGAAAGAACCAAGAAGATGAATCCCTGCAGTCACGAAAGCTTTAAATCGAAAGATATTCTCTCCTGTAGTTGTTCCTTTGATGCTTTGCAGTGCAGCAAGCTCTTCTGTGACTTCGAAATAGTCATTCGTCCCACGAATAAAAATTAGAAGTTGTGCAGAATCACGAACATCATTGCTTTCGTCGAGTGCCAAGGAAAAATAGGAAAGTTTTTTTTTTGGAGTTTTGCAAATGCTGATGCAAATTGTCTCCCATTTCTTCAATCCTCCGTGTAATTGTAGGTCCTGAAAGACTCACTGTACTAAATAAATCGGCCTTCTCTGGACACATCTCTTTGGCAACAGAAAGAAGGCATTCTTTAACAAATTCTCCCTCCACGAATGGTCTGCCAGTGCACGCTATTAGCTTGGCAACTTGAAAACTTGCTCGCAGTGATGAAATATTTAGCTGCTTCTGCTTCACAAAAGTATTTTGCTGAGTTGTTAATGTATTTTTCAGTTTTAATATTTTATCTTTTCTCACTTCTCCGACCAAACAATCATATTTATCTTTATGTTGAGTTTCATAGTGTCGACGTAAATTGTATTCTTTGAACACAGACACTATATTCTGGCATATCAGACACAGCTCTTTCCTTGTACTGCATGAAAAAGTAATCATAAGTCCACTGTTCTTTGAATATCCTACACTCCGAGTCAATTTTACTCTTTCTTGACATCATTGTTTCCTAGGGAGTCAAAATTGCTATTAGTAAAATACCAATATATATACAGCGCTACAAAAACAATATACCAGGAATAACTTTGCCCACACAGAGACATACAGACTGCACTGCCCTTCAATGCAGTCTGATTGGGGGGAACTCCGCCCCCTCTCCCTCTTCCACCAATGACCGTCCTTCTCATGTAGAAAAAAGTAACAGACAGGCAGCAGCGGCAAAAACACCCGGCGGGCCGGATAAATGTCCTCGGTGGGCCGCATGTGGCCCGCGGGCCGTAGTTTGAGGACCCCTGCTGTACACAGTGCCACACTTATATATCAGTGTGTGCCTATGTGCATGCAGTATCACAGTTGGTTCTCAACACGTGCGTACTCTACAGTATATGCACACAACTGCACGTCAGCCATTGGACTTCATTGGCTGGTGCTGTGTGTGGTGGGGTTTGTGTGTTTGATGACTCATGAGGTTCTGGTGGAATCCCTGTGCCTGTCACTGCCACGAGCACTCAGTGCTCTGCGCAGAGAGAACACCGCAGCTTGCGGAAATCAGTTAGGTAAACAGTGCACTTCACTGGCTTTAGTGGACACTTGGCTACACCACCTGAGTGGTGAAGTGACCCAAGAGCCTAATGAGATGCGAAACCTACGAATACATAATTACACAAACTTCCACTAATAAGTGGTGCCATGAGTATTAATCATTAATGCTATATTTATAGGACCTTTTTGCCAGTATCAAGTTGATGAAAAAATTAAGAATAGACTTTACCCTTTTTGGCAAAAACAGGTGTTAAGATATTCAAGGAAAAAATAGATACTTATTTCAAGGAATCAAGTCTGCATTAAAAACACATGCCTGTGGCAAAACATGTGTAGTGACTGTACTTGTCACTGTATGGTGCCGGCGCTTGCGAAGCCACGGCCGGTAATGTGTTGTCAGTACGGGCAGCCCGGGTTACGGGATGTAGTACCAGCCCTAGCGGGGCTTGAGTGAGCGCTGGTCAGCGCGGAGGCACCGCTAGCAGTGTGCGGTGCGGGCTCCCGGTGAGGGAGCGAGAGGGAGCATCAGCCAGCCAGGGTTACCTTGGGGCATGATATGCTGGATGACCTGCTGTCACGTGACCGGATGATATTGGAGGGGGGCCACCAGTGGATGGGGGCCGTGGGGTGGTCATGTGGTCTAAAAGAGCTGTCGGGAACCTTCGAAAAGGAGCTCGAGAAACCTGGAAGGTGGGCGGGGCGAAGGGCGGAGCCAGCCCCAGCCCGGGAGCATATAACGAGGGCTCCATGAGGAGCTCGGGGTTCTTCAACTGCTGGTGTTACGAAGATTCACGTCGGGGAGAAGAAGCCACTAGCCATGCGGTCCGGAACCCAGCTTGTGGTCCGGACCGGGATAGCGAACCATGTCTAGGTCTGCCGTAGCGTGGTTAGATGGGCATTCGAGACCCGAGTGTAGATTGTGTTGTGTTGCGTGTTAATGTGAATAAATAGTGTTGCTCCCAAGAGAATGTCTGCGACTCAGTTGGACTCGCTACACATGCAAACAAATATGCTCTACAAGTATATGTATTATCTTTTAAACTGATTGGCCTACACCAGAGACAGCCTTATTTATGGCCTTGTCTCACCAGCAGTGTTAGACCAGAGAACACCAAGAGGCAAACAGTACAAAGACAATTCAACTATCAAAGCATAGGTAGCTCAGTTTGAGCAATTATATCGACAATTCCTGGAGGCTCCCTGTGTACATGATAGCTGATGAGAGCTAGTGGGGCGCGCTGCAACGCTGGAGTAAAAGTGGAGTGTGTTTTGGGGCCCTCAAATGGCAGAGAGACGCCAAGCAGAAGCAAGAAGACAACGCATGAGTACTACCGAACTTTGACAATTTGGTTTAATGATAACCGCTCCTGTCTTCTCGGTGAAGTTCAAGGCCAGAAGAACGAGGCACAGCGGGCATGGGTTACATACACATGTGTAGTGACATTGCGGGATGTCACTGTGCAGTGCCGGCCCTAGAGAGGCACGGTGTGCGGTGTAACGACATTGGACACCACAATGGTGTGGGTGTAGTACCGGCCCCAGAGGCGCCCAGTGAGTGCTGATTGATAGTGCGAGATAGCACCGCGCTTGGCGTGCAGTGCCAGCCCTACAGGACAGGGTGTGGGAGTGCCGGCCGTAGGAATGAGGTTACTAAGGCCATGGCACTCTGGTTGACCCGGGAGGACACATGGCCAGTTAAGTCTACAAAGAGGCCCAAGTGGGGGCTATGGGTGGTCACGTGGTTAGCATCCAGATCCTTCCCGAGGATTCTGGAAGGTGGTCGTGGTCAATGGCGGAGCCGGCCACGCTGCAGAGAATATAAGCCGGGTCCCCCAGAGGGACCGGCGTAGTTCATCCTGAAGAAACCTTCGTCTACGTTCTACCGAGTCTCCAACACGTGGACCTGGGCCCGAGCTGTGGTCCTGGTCCGTAGTAGCTAGTTACGTTGTAATTAGTGCAGTTAGCCTGGTGGTCACCACCATAGGTTGTTATTCTGTTAAGGGGTAGTTACCCCGTGTTGGAGTTAAATTAATGTGTTGCCTCCAAGTCTACATCTGCGACTCAGTTGAACTCACCACACATGTGTAAGGGTCAAAATAACACAAACCCATTTAATGTATTAATTATAATTAAAGTGTATTATTAAAATACGATATTCTTGGCTAAAACATTCCAACTACATACGTGACATATTCTGAAGTGAGGTGATTGAACCTCATTGGATGGCAAATTTCAAGGAGAAAAGTACGGCACATTTATTGGTTTGGAGAAACGTTGGTGAGGGGTGAGCGGTCACAGGGGTGGTGGAGAGAGAGGGAGAGCCCTGGAACATTCAGGAAGGTCCAGACAAGAGCTTAAAAGACCCGGGAACGGCCATTGCAAAACAGGCTCCCAGCGTGCAAGTGTTGTGTTGCCGGTTCATAAACAGCCCTTCCAGCATCTGCTTTGCAACTCTTTTACACAAACAGGAAAACGTCGATGTACTTGGGGGTTACGTACTTGGGAAATGCCATTTTGCAAAAAACTAAATTCGACAAACAATAAACCTTGAGGGAAAATTAAGATTTTGTGTCCTGGGTCTGAAATGATCACCCCTTCCCTCTTTGTTGAACTAATTCTAAATGATTTCCACCCTTTGTATTCTAATAAAGGATGAAAAGTCGCTCTCCATTTCTTGTGTGTGTGTGTGTGTACACGTTCAATTTCATTGCAACACAAAACCCCCATCTCCATTACTCGCACTGCGAAAGCTCACCTATCACACTGAATTGCCCCTAACACTCACTTGAATGTTCACGATTCACCATCTAGGTGTCCGCATGGCTGATATCCTCAATGAGTTGGTGGCTATGCATGCGGCCATGCGTGAACACTTGCGTTGTGTGTAAGCGGGTTGAGTAAGTTACATTATCACACCAGAATACAAAAAACATACATGCTCATACCATAGTAGCTCCCAAGGGATACAGCGCTCTCAGATTTCCCAAGCCTATATAATAACTATCTTAGCAACGTCGACCCGTGCATAGCTGAAACATCACCCTGTGGGATTTTCCTGTACTGTATATACACACTGTACATACACAGAGTTCGGGTGTCAACCCAAGAAGGTGATATCATGAAGGCCTACCTGTCATAGTGGGTGATGGACATGTAGTCATAGGGTAGTTCAAAATCGCTGGTTTCCAGCAGTCGAAACTGACGCTGTTCATCTGGAAGAGAAAGGACCAATAATTTTATTTCGCAATGACAATTCATATGCATTTTAAGAGACATTCAGCATTGGATTTAATTTCTTTTCATATTTAACTTCATGGCCTTTTTGTCCATGTATTTTACCTGTATAGTCACTAAAATAAGATAGTTGGAGTCAACCTGATCCTTGCTTGTGCCTGATAACAGAGCCTATTAGCAACATAAACAGTAGCAACATCTTGAACTTGCATCACATATACATTTACTATTTCTGATAATGAAACAAGTGTTAAAAAAATAGATACCTATTGTAGATACCTGGCAGCACGTCTGCATTAACCACACATACTTGTGGAAAACATACAAATATGCTCTGATAATATATGCATTGCTTTTGAAACTGATTGGCCTACACCAGACAACCTTCTTTGTCTCACCAGTGTTAGACGAGAGAAAGCCAAAAGGCCAACAGTACAAAAAAGATGCAAGTCTGTGTATAGTATCAGAGCATATTTGTTTGCATGTTTTGCCACAAGTATGTGTGGTTAATGCAGACTTGACGTCTTACAATTTATCTATTTGGTATTTGAACATCTTAACACCTGTGTTATTATATTATTGGTTCTTTCGTTAAAGTCATGTAGATATAATTTTTTTTAAACTAAATAATTAAAGCAAAAAATCCACGACGTTTCGATCGCAACACAAGCGGTCTTCATCAGGCGGAGAGAAAATAGGGGGCAAGCCTCCAAATGTAACTGCTTATAAGGGTTTCCAAAGTGAGTGGGCAGGGGACTAGAGTTCCGAGTTGGAGAGCTGTGCGGCGTAAACAGCATGGGCGGGGCAACAAGTGCGAATGTGGGAGTAAACAATGGAGGGAGGAAGGGGTAGAGATAGGGGGAGAGAGAGGGGGGTAGAGATGGTGGGGGGGGGGCATTGCACCTCGCTACACACATCCACACTGCTGACGGTAGAGGTTGACAAGTCATGATCGAAAGTAGTTGATGATATCTTTCCAATAATTGCTGAGTTTATAACCGTCGTCTCGGTTGAAATTTTGTCTGTATATATGGATGGCTTCGTGAACGAATCTTTGTTGATAGCCAGTCGGCTTGCAAAATACCATCGTCTTAGAGAATCAAGTTCATGTGAGCCAGCCGCATTAAAGTAATGATCTGCCACAGCATAAATATTGGTCCTGCCGTGTTTCAGATCTGCCTTATGTTCACGAACACGGTCCGAGACATGTCGTTTAGTTTCCCCAATGTAACTGCTGTCGCAGATAAAGCTTATATTCTTGGTTCTTTCGGTAAAGTCACGTAGAAGTAAAGTTACGTAGGAGCCATTCAAAACTATCACCTTACCGGCTTACCCTACATTGCGGGCATCACAAAAAAGATCTCCAAAATCTTGAATAAACACAAGATCCAGGTCCGATTCAACACATTACATAAAATCCGTGATCTGGTTCCGTCTGTAAAATATGTGATTCCGGACATACAGTACCCTGGCGTTTACAAACTGAGTTGCCTCTGTGGTAGTAGTTACATTGGAGAAACCAAACAACATGTCTCTGACCGTATCCGTGAGCACAAAGCAGACCTAAAACACGGAAGGACCAACACCTCGGCCGTGGCAGATCACTGTTATAATTCAGTGGGCTCACATGACATTGATTTCTCCAAGACAGAGGTTCTTTGCAAGCCATCTGGCTACCATGAGAGGTTGGTTCATGAGGCTATTCACATATACAAACACAGAGACAATTTAAACTGAGAAGATGGATTCTGGCTTAGCAATCATTGGAAGGATTTGATAAACCATTTCAGGTCTTAATTGATTGTGTTCACGCTTACGGTGACTTTCAGACCGCATTCCATTTTCTGCTCCCCCCTCCTCTTTTACGAACATAGATGGACTCGTCCATCTGGCAAACTGCCAAATCGCTGTCCTTGGTTCTGACGTTAGGAAAAACCGCCACTTTTTAAATCCTTTATATTAAGTTCGCATGCTTGCTTGCTTGCGTGCTTGCTTACGACCGTGCAAATCTTTCGGTCGTTTTTTAACCCACTTCCCGTGATCCAATCGAGCTGACATTTTGCACACAGACTCGTTGTGCGAAACAATTAATGTTCGTGAAATTTTTTTTCAAAAATTTTACACTTTTTAGGCAAAAAAATTATTTTACATTTATTCAAATAGAACTCATTCATGGCTTTGGCTGAACGTCACAGTGTAGGAGCCCAGAGCGTAACCCCTCCACAGGCCGTGGCGGAGTAGCGCAGTTGGTAGCGCCCTCGCTTCCCATGCCAAAGGTCGCGGGATCGATCCCCGCGTCCTCCACAGGCGAATATATTTTTAAATCCTTTATATTAAGTTCGCTTGCTTGCTTAGGACCGTGCAAATCTTTCGCTCGTTTTTTAACCCACTTCCCGTGATCCAATCGAGCTGACATTTTCCACACAGACTCGTTGTGTGTGACAATTAATTTTCGTGAAAATTTTTTTCCAAAATTTTACACTGTTTAGGGAAAACAAATTAAATATTTAATTACCAATTGCTTAATACTGGCAGACAATCATCTGACCCATAGGTGGCAGCCATCTCAAGCCAGAGGACGAGAGGACTCTAGCCGCCACGCATATAAAGGATTTATAGTGAAAAACTTTGTTTTTACTGGTTATACTTATTTCAAAATTTATTGCTGTGGATTTCACACCTGATGATGATTGCTTGTGTTGCAGTCGAAACGTCGTGAGAATTTTTAATGTTTTATATTTATATTATTTTATTATTTCCCTTCTACTTGACTTTACCGAAAGAACCAAGAATATGAATCCCTGCAGTCACGAAAGCTTTAAATCAAGATAAAGCTTAGTTTGTGGACGCCGGGATATTGCATGTCAGGAATCTTGTCCTTCACAAATGGGATCAGATCACAAATTGTATGCACTGTGTTAAATCGGACCTGGATCTTGTGTTTGTTGAAGATTTTTGAAATATTTTTGGTTCCCCTGCTATGTAAGGCAAGGTTATGCGTTTGATTGGATCTTCAGATGGCTCCTTCCTCACGGTTGGGGTGATGGCTTTGCGGATTGTGTAGTCAGAATATCCATTCGCCTTGAGAGCTTGCTGTACATGTTTGAGTTCACTGGTTAGGTGTCCATGGTCGGAGATACATTGAGCCCTATGGTGTAGCTTTTTGATGAAATTCTTCTGGGATGGATGGTGGTGGGAATCAGGTTTTAGGTAGGCGTTAGTATGGGTTACTTTCCTCATTGAGCCATCTGGTATCTTTTTGATTAAGACATCCAAGAAAGGTAGCATGCCATCCTTTTCTACCTCCATGGTGAATTTGATTGCAGGGTGTATGGAATTGATGTGGTTGAGGAATTGTTTCAGAGCCGGTCGGCCATGTGGCCAGATGACAAACGTGTCATCCACGTACCTCTTCCACAAGGACAGGTGTAGATTGGATGCCTGGAAGGCGTACGTCTGAAAATTTTCCGTGAAAATGTTAGCCACAACCGCTGTGTTATTGCCAGAAAGGGTAAGCCTATTGTTTTGTTTTCATAATTTCAAAACTGACAAAACGGTCACTTAGATACCACATATACAGTAGAATGCATCCCATCTGACTGGATGTGGGACGCTAGGCGTGGATTCTATTCATGCTCATCTGTGTATTTTACTCCTCACTCACAACAATGAGCAGAGCCTGGGGTGGATACAATGCAGCAGGTTGACACATTGGAGAGCACAGGTGGTGCATTTTTGAGTCACCTCGGTCAGTTAACTGACTTCACGTGGCCTCAAGCTGCACATAGCCTGGCAAACGCTGTGGTGATGCAACTGTCATTCAGTTGTGAATGGTGGTTGATGTAGTTAATGTATTTGTAGTGGGTTCCCATGGAGACCGGAGACGTAGCTTAGAGGCAACACGTTCTATTCAAATACCGTAACAAAAGGCCCTTTACCCCCGCTACCTGGGTAGGTATGGCCTCCGGGCCGACGTGCCCTATCACTGGGACTACCGGCTCTGAGTCCTCCGGCTAAGGGTGACCTCGGGGAGGCTAATTGACCCGACCCTACCAAGGTGCGGGTCTCGACCACTGGTCCGCGCTCGGCCCCGGCCCTTGAAAGGACATCGGGTCCCAGGGGTCCCCAGGGTCCTAGCCTAGCTGGTCTTCAGTCTTCATCTTCAGAGCACTGCCTCGAGCCGTTCTGAGGTCCGTCTTATATACACCTCTCGGGGACTCTCTGCCCCCGGTACCGCCCCCTTTTTGGAACCTTCCAGGGGGCTCTGGAATAACCCTCCAACCCCCCACCTGGAGTCAGGGGGGGGGGGGGGGAACTCGGCCTCTCAACGGTCCGACTCTCTCTCTAGCTCAGGGTAGCACCCCCTACAGACCCGTGCCCACAACTACAGGTAAGTATACATACGGCGGCGTGTGCTATGTATTTCCGACGCTACATATTAAACAGGCGGTTGGCTGCAGCTATGCTACACTTGATACTCACTTCCTGAATCTGGCTCTGAGCACGATTGCATTATTTGGTTGGTACAGTGAGGGAAAAAAGTATTTGATCCCCTACTGATTTTGTACGTTTGCCCACTGACAAAGAAATGGTCAGTCTATAATTTTAATGGTAAGTTTATTTGAACAGTGAGAGACAGAATAACAACAACAAAATCCAGAAAAACGCATGTCAAAAATGTTATAAATTGATTTGCGTTTTAATGAGGGAAATAAGTATTTGACCCCTCTGCAAAACATGACTTAGTACTTGGTGGCAAAACCCTTGTTGGCAATCACAGAGGTCAGACGTTTCTTGTAGTTGGCCACCAGGTTTGCACACATCTCAGGAGGGATTTTGTCCCACTCCTCTTTGCAGATCTTTTCCAAGTCATTAAGGTTTCGAGGCTGACGTTTGGCAACTCGAACCTTCAGCTCCCTCCACAGATTTTCTATGGGATTAAGGTCTGGAGACTGGCTAGGCCACTCCAGGACCTTAATGTGCTTCTTCTTGAGCCACTCCTTTGTTGCCTTGGCTGTGTGTTTTTGGTCATTGTCATGCTGGAATACCCATCCACGACCCATTTTCAATGCCCTGGCTGAGGGAAGGAGGTTCTCACCCAAGATTTGACGGTACATGGCCCTGTCCATCGTCCCTTTGATGCGGTGAAGTTGTCCTGTCCCCTTAGCAGAAAAACACCCCCAAAGCATAATGTGTCCACCTCCATGTTTGACGGTGGGGATGGTATTCTTGGGGTCATAGGCAGCATTCCTCCTCCTCCAAACACGGCGAGTTGAGTTGATGCCAAAGAGCTCCATTTTGGTCTCATCTGACCACAACACTTTCACCCAGTTGTCCTCTGAATCATTCAGATGTTCATTGGCAAACTTCAGACGGGCATGTATATGTGCTTTCTTGAGCAGGGGGACCTTGCGGGCGCTGCAGGATTTCAGTCCTTCACGGCGTAGTGTGTTACCAACTGTTTTCTTGGTGACTATGGTCCCAGCTGCCTTGAGATCATTGACAAGATCCTCCCGTGTAGTTATGGGCTGATTCCTCACCGTTCTCATGATAATTGCAACTCCACGAGGTGAGATCTTGCATGGAGCCCCGGGCCGAGGGAGATTGACAGTTATTTTGTGTTTCTTCCATTTGCGAATAATCGCACCAACTGTTGTCACCTTCTCACCAAGCTGCTTGGCGATGGTCTTGTAGCCCAATCCAGCCTTGTGTAGGTCTACAATTTTGTCCCTGACATCCTTGGAGAGCTCTTTGGTCTTGGCCATGGTGGAGAGTTTGGAATCTGATTGATTGATTGCTTCTGTGAACATGTGTCTTTTATACAGGTAACAAGCTGAGATTAGGAGCACTCCCTTTAAGAGTGTGCTCCTAATCTCAGCTCGTTACCTGTATAAAGACACCTGGGAGCCAGAAATCTTTCTGATTGAGAGGGGGTCAAATACTTATTTCTCTCATTAAAATGCAAATCAATTTATAACATTTTTGATATGCGTTTTTCTGGATTTTTGTTGTTTATATTCTGTCTCTCACTGTTCAAATAAACCTCCCATTAAAATTATAGACTGATCATTTCTTTGTCAATGGGCAAACGTACAAAATCAGCAGGGGATCAAATACTTTTTTCCCTCACTGTATGTGTGTACATATGTGTGTAGAGACTGCCCATTATTCTACACGTGCTTATGAAACCACACAACAACTGAAAGAAATAATATCTGCCAGACAATGTCTCATGTGCCGTTACCCTTATGGCCAGAGACACAAGTCACATGGTGTACTAACCACTGCACCACCGCTCTCCCACTCCCTCACATGATTAAATTGCAGATGTCACATCTGAATAATTTTTTTAAACTGCCATTTGCAGTTTGTACATTTTAAAACCTCCTTGACTTTCTGAATATATAGTGACCGGTTGTTGGGGTCTGGGATGGACGGTGGCAGCCTGGATAAACCAGAGCTTGTGAACTGGGACATTGTTCCATAGCTTTCAAATGCATGATTCACGATACCACTCATACATAAACTGCTGCTGCGCTGCGAGTTGGAATTAGACTGAACTGAAAGTTTGCAAGAATGAACAACAGATGTGAGCTATCAATTCATGCTCCCCTATTAATATATTTGACACGTTGTTTTATGAGCATCTTAAAACAATATCCTTGTTTTCTCCCAGATCAAGGAATTATATTTAAAAAAGAAGTGATAACATAATGAGTTTTACTTCATAATATGCTTTTTTAATTAGGCCTCCATAAATATTGTATGCATGAATGCTGAACTTCTTTCGCACCATACATTGCCGACCATGCTAATTGGACGTGCGGGGGAAGGGTAATAAACTAAATACAAAAAGGAGTTATAAAGAAATTAGTTTTCAATCTAGATTTAAAAGTGCACAGCTCCAGTGGCTTCCTAATATCGGAAGGAAGAGTGTTCCAGACGGCCGTAGAAGCGCATTTGAAAGCGCGCGATGCTGTAACTGTCTTTGTTCAATGGCCAGCCAAAAGCAGCTGCGAGGATGACCGGAGTTCGTGTGATGGTTTATGCTCCATGACGAGATCAGCCAGGTATTGTAGTTAATTTGTGAGCACTGGTTGGACATGGTCAGATCTTGCAGTACCCGTCATGACAAGTGCCAGAGAATTTTGTACACACTGCAGCTTGGTAATGTTTTTGCCAGACGTCCCGTAGTGAGTTGCAATAATCGAGCTTTGTCGATACTATGCTACACACCACCGTGTTGGCTGTGTCACGACTCAATAGTGGTAGAATGTGTTGTAGAGCCCTGATATGAAAATTGCAGGACCTGACTATAGTTTGCATGTGTTAATCAAACGACATTCTGGTCAAGTAGAGTGCCGAGGCTCTTTAGATAACTAGAAAACTGAATCCAGCAGTCTGCAACTGCCACACCTGATTCTCCCATATTCTTTTGTCCTGAGGCTGAGTACAAACCAGCAGAACTTCCGATTTTTCTGGAATAAGCAGCATTTCATTTTGTGCAAGCTGCATTTGCACTACTCTTGTGGAATCCTTGAGGTTCCTGAGGCTCTCCATATCTAGCTTTGACTTCACTGCGGTGTATAATTGTGTATCATCGGCAAATTAATGGGACTTGATGTGATGTGATGAGATGTTATCGGCGATCGGAAACACGTATATTGAAAATAGGAAGGGCCCAAGGATGGACCCCTGTGGTACGCCAACTAGGCAAGGCAAACGCGATGACTCTTCGTTGCTCAGCTTGATGAACTGTGATCGACCATGTAGGCATGACTCCATCCATCCCAGGGCCTTACCCAATATACCGAATCTTGAACTTAGCCACCTGAAGATAATCTCATGGTCGATGGTGTCGAAGGCGGCTGAGAGATCGAGGCCAACCAATGCTATGGCGCACTGATTACAACAGTTTTAATCTGCCCATCACAGCAATGTGAGGAAATAAATTATTTAGATACGGGTGCTCTATGGCCTTTGAAATCATACTCAAGTTTGAGATCGGGTGATAGTTTGCAGCGTCACTCTTGCTCAAGCCAAATTTTTTCAGCCGAGCAGCGATGTCTGTGCAATGAACATTGACACCTCTGCCACCGAAGTTAGTGCCAGGGTCTCGATTTTTGCATTGGCTCCAGGATGTTCACACTCAGATGGCAGACCGGGAAAATACGTTGCCTTCAAGTGAGAAACTGCCATCTTGATGGTCACTATTTTATTGGTGAAGAATATAGCAAGTAATGTGCACAGATCGGGTTTACTAGCTGATGGATTGTTGGAGTGCAGCAGGCCCTTCACGACGTGCCAAAAAACACAGGGGTCGCAAGCCGAGTCATTGATGCGCAAAACATAGTATGATATGCGAGACTCAATAAGGAGTCGGCAGATCTGCAGGCAGCTCTGTAAGCAAGTCGGAGAGTCTTGAAACCAGTTTTCTTCCAAAGACGCTCCAGCCTCCTCTGCGTCTGGTTCACAGTGATCACCTACAGTCACAGCCAGTTACTGCGTGCTTTCCCCGTTCTCTTTGTGCTTGTTTGGATGGGCACGAGTTCATCAAGAATAAAAGTGATGTTCTAATTGAGATGTGGATGAATCAACCGTCGATGCAGGATTTCGACACGCCGATGATGACCAGATCGTCGGATGGAAAGCATTGTGGTCCAGTGGTTTCCAGTCTCTGTATGATAGCATTGTGACAGGTATGTGAATAATCGGTAATGCCACTTTGCACGTTAGGAGACTGATCTGAAATACATATATATGTCTTCAATAACAACGTCGGTCACAGTTACTGCATTTCCAGAGTGATATGTTGCACTGCTAACGTGCTGGGTTAAACTATGACCGTCAATAATCTAGACGAGATCACTGCTGGTTTTACCATAGGAATCAGTCGGTCCAGGACAGTATACGGCACATGATAGCCTCCATGTTTGCCACTTGATTGTTTAAAATTTCTTTACCTTCCTTGATGTTGTCCTCCTGGACTGTGATGTACTCGTCGCGGTCGCTGCGGCAGTGCTCGTGGTGGAAGCCGAGCGCGTGCATGAGCTCGTGCAGAACGACGCCCTTGGTCACCTTCCCGGGCTCCAGGGACACGGACTGAGCCCCTCCCTTCTGACCCAAAAATGACCAGTTCCTGCTCACACAGCAACATGGTTATGATTCCATTTCAATAAGAGAATAAGTAATAATAATAAATATCCACAGAATGCTTTGCAGAGTTTGTCCTCTTGTTTTATTAAAATAAACTGATGCTGATATAACCAAGTCATCAGCTTCAATTAAGTTAGGGGAAATTCAGGGCAGAGTGGCAGCGCATTTTCCGCTTGTTGCAGAGTTTCATGGTTCAAGCTCCCGGTTGCCATGGTTAATACTTTGTGTGTATTAATGGTAAAATACATGCTGTCTGCATCACGGTGGATGTTAAAGATCCCATCACATTTGAAAAGAGTTGAATTCTTGTACCGGCATCATTGTTCAAAAAGCAACTTGTTTTTTCTTACCACTATAATAACCTAAGAACTGATTACATCTATTCTCTGTTATGTCATATCTGCCTGGGCCATATACATAAATGTGGAATAATATGAATTATATTACGTTCTACAAATCAGTTCAAGAAAAGTAAAAGTATGGGAAAAAATGCATGAACAAATATTGATACTCACAGCACGTAAAAACCTACACTAGTTTGCAGAAGCTGCATGGACATTCATCACAGGTGCACCGGCACTTTCCCCTGTAGTATGTACCAGGGATGTTAAACAATAACTGGGAAAATGGTAACCATATTTCAGAATGTATTACCAGTACCTAGAGTCAGGAAATTAACATTTATAGTGGAATTTTAATAATGAATGCACCTTAGATTTGAGGTTTCTGCAGCCTTGAATAGTATTCATATTTAAACTTTATTCACAGTGTGACTGCATGTGTGACATCATCACCAGTTGTTGCTTAGTCTTCCTTCCAATCACTCTCAGCAGACCACAATGGCAAACAACGAATTAGGAGTTGGAATATAACATGAAGGTATGTCACCAGTGAGTACTGGTATAATGCTTACAGATTGCTGCTCTGTACAAGTGTAGAGGTGTAATTGTGCATGGCCACGGATGTAGAGGCGTAGTTGTGCATGGCCACGGATGGCTAACAAACACAAGGGGCGGGGTTACGGCCGTACACAGGGGAGGTGCTCGCACCAACGTCCGCACCTGCATCCCCCACGGGCCCCTCCCGGGGGCCGAGTCCTATAAAAGGTGGTGAGACGGAGGGCTCGAGGTCGAGGTATCAGCTTTAACCAGCGAAGACTGAAGACCAGCTAGCATAGGCCCCGGAGCTCCCCTGGCTCGCTGTCCTTATCAGGGCCGACCAGGGCAAGCCGGTGGCGTGGCCCCGAGAGCCCGGACTGACAAGCCAGTCTGGAGACTCAGGGTGCCGGGATCCCAGCTTGACCAGGGCTGGGATAGTTAGCCTCCCCTAGCTCCGTAGTGGAGGACTTGGGCAAAGGTTAGAGGGGTTAGAAGTCGTGTATCCCTGTAGCCGAGTGAAGGGGACGATACCCCCTTTAGTATTGTGTGTACCCATTACAAGTTGGTGTCAATAAATAAGTGTGCCTCCGATCCTGTCGTCAAGCCTCCTGATACTTACTACATCTGGGGTCAGAAGTAAAACGTTCAACGATGGACACACGAGGGACGACACGTACCAGGGAGTCGGAGATGGAGGACACCGCGGCTGAATCGCCACCAGAGATGGCCGGGGGCGGATCGGAGCAGCCGGGGCCGAATACACCCACGCTGCTACGACAGGAAGGGGGGGATGCGTCGGCCGAGAGACTTCGGCTGGCTCACTCCCGCCTGGCGGAGCTGCTCTACGCTGCGGCCGCCGCGTTGGAAGACATCACGCGGCTGGGGGCTGGAGGGGCTGCGCGGGACGACGACAGCAGCCGACGCGCGGCGACATTTCCCGCCACCCCGACGCGGCTCGCGGTTAAATTTCCCGCCATCTCTACAGTGCGAGCGGAGGGCGGGGCCGGCCCGCGTCAGGTGACTGCTGAGGGCCAAGCACAAGCCGTGACGTCATCAGCATCAGCCAGCGCGTCAACATCAGAGCGACCGGCGATGCCATGCTCGCAGCCCGCCCACACTGTATCATCTGCTGGGAGCGACGGAGAGCGATCTGCAGCCACGGACGTCGCGTTACAGCAGCGACTGCCGCCTCTCAAAGAATTCGTGGGCGCGGACGGAAACTGGGGCGGCTTCAAAAGGCGGTTCATCGCTCATCAAGAGATGGCGAACTGGACGGACGCCGAGGCACTACGCGCGCTGCCGGCGATGCTGGACAACGACGCCCTGGCTACCCTCACCTCGGCGCCTAAGGAAAAGCGCGCCACGCTGCACCTGGCGCTGCAGCTGCTGTCAGCCGTCTATGGGCCGCCTTCGGACTGCAGGCAGCTGTTCCACGATCGGCATCGGGGCGCCAACGAATCGCCCCTGGCCTTCCGGACGGCTCTCCTGGCCCTGGCGAAGGCAGCTTTTCCACGGATGGACGAGGAGGGAGTGGACGCCATGGTGGCCGAGAAGCTGCTGCTACTCGCTGATGAGCTGGACGTCAACGTCTTGGCTCAAGACGACGTAGAGATGTCGTCCCTGCTGGTCGCGCGCCACATCCACGGGGGCTTGCGGTCCCTGCGTCGCAAGGCGGCCAAGGGGGTGGCCGGCCATGCCATGGCGGCCACCGCCCTCCCATCGGAGGAGGTCTGCGGGGTGGAGCGGCGGGGGGAATGGAGATCGGCGGCACCACAGGCTCGGAATGGACCGAGCCACCAGGAGCAGCCCAGGCCATCTGGGGCGCTCACACGCTGCTACAACTGTGGCCTGCAAGGCCACGTTGCGTCAGGATGCCGGGCTCCCCGTCAGCGCAGGGCGACACCTCGTCAGGACGCCACGCTGTCTCCACCCAAGCTCCAGCAGAGAAATACGGCGAGTCGTGGCACCTCACACGTTTGGCCCATGCACACATCCGACACACACTCACGCGCTCAACTAAACAGGGCTCGAAAATCGCCGCCCGTTGCGCGCGATTGTTCTGAAATGCGGCGAGCGCTCCAACCGGGTCAGTGGTCGGAGCTCGCCCATCGTGTCGTTGCTGCGTCGGCGGGATCATCGGTTGTGGTCGGTCATATTGATGGGGTAGAGGTGCGGATTTTAATTGACACAGGGGCATCGGCGACCATTATATCTGATTTGATTTATAACATCCTTCCCGTTCAAAGTCGTCCCTTGCTCCCTGTTGACGTGCCATGCTATGCTGCTAACGGGGGCTCGCTGGGCATTATTGGGCAAATCCGCGCCAAAATTTGCATTGGAGACATTAAATTATCCGGGCCTGTTTTGGTTTCCTCCTCACTCGCGGTTCCGTGCCTGTTGGGGACGGATTTCTTGGCCAAAATGCCCATCCGTATCTTGATTGACCAGGGGTGCATCGAGCTCCCATCGGGCCGACGTGTTACATTTTTGTCTTCCCCCACCACGGAGCGTCGGGCGTTTGCCACCGTGCAGGCGCTCGTGACAAAAACTGTGCGCGTACCCCCGGGGGCTCAGATGCTCGTCCCTCTTAGGTTGCGTCGGCCGTTTGCTGAAGGGGTTGCGGATCGGGGGGTCTTGTTGGGACCATCTCGAGCCGGGGTCAATGGACCCGATTTGCTAGCGGCTCAGACCATGGTGAAAGGGGATGGGGACCCCTTCATTGCAGTCCTTAATGTAGGATCGCGAACGGCCGTGGTTCGTCAAGGGACCGTGCTTGCACACGCAACGCCGGTACCCTATGAGGAACCACTCGTGGGTCAGGTAACCACCGATCCTCCGTCGCGACCGCATTCGGACTGTGATGACGGATGGCTGGATGCGCTTTGCGCGGGATCAGTGGACCTGTCCGACTCGCAGCGTGCGCAGCTACGAGTTCTCCTGAGCGAATTTGCTGACGTTTTTAGTCAACACAAATTTGATATTGGTTGTACTAAATTGCTGCGACACCATATTGACACGGGTGACAGCGCGCCAATCCGCCAAAATCCCTTTCGGTTGAGTCCCACCGAAAAGGATCATGTCAAATCGGCTGTTGATGACATGCTAGCCGCCGATATCATTTCCCCTTCCAACAGCCCGTGGGGCGCGCCGATCGTTTTGGTGAAAAAACACGACGGCTCACTGCGGTTTTGTGTCGACTTTCGGCGATTGAACAAAATTTCTGTGGCAGATGCGTACCCGCTTCCTCGAATGGATGAGTCGCTCGATGCCTTGGCGGGGGCGCGATTCTTTTCCACCCTCGATTTACTTTCTGGCTTCTGGCAGCTTCCTCTGGATGACGAATCCAAACCTAAGACGGCTTTCCGTACACCGCAAGGCCTCTTCCAGTTTAACCGCTTGCCGATGGGCTTACATTCTGCGCCAGCAACTTTTCAGCGGTTAATGGAACTGGTCTTGGCAGGCTTGCAATGGGATTCGTGTTTGATTTACTTGGACGATGTCATCGTCTTTAGCAAATCATTCGATGAACACCTCCAGAGATTGCGTGCTGTTTTTCTCAAAATGCGGGCTGCCAATTTAAAATTTAAACCGCAGAAGTGCCATTTGCTCCGCGAATCGGTGCGGTATTTGGGTCACATTGTGGGGCGCTCGGGGATATCCACTGATCCCGCCAAAACGGAATGCGTCAGCTCCTGGCCAACTCCCACCTCGGTGGGAGAGGTCAGGAGTTTCATTGGCTTCGCGTCGTACTACCGACGGTTTGTGGCTGACTTCGCTACGATCGCGAAACCATTGCACGCCTTGACGTCCAAGGGGGTCAGGTTTCATTGGGGGCCGGAGGAAGAGGCTGCTTTTCGCGCCCTCCGGAATGCCCTGGTGGGGGCTCCACCGTTAAATTACCCCGATTTCTCACAACCCTTCTTGCTCGATACAGACGCAAGTAACACGGGCATTGGGGGCGTGTTGTCCCAGCTCATTGGGGGCGTAGAGCATGTGGTGGCTTACGGTAGTCGAATACTGTCTCCGGCGGAACAACGGTACTGCGTTACCCGTCGGGAATTATTGGCAATTGTTTATTTCATTCAGCAGTACCGCCCGTATCTGTACGGTCGGCGTTTCTCCGTCCGTACAGATCATGCGGCCCTACAGTACGCTCTGCGGGTTCAACAACCATCGGGCCAGTTGTCTCGATGGTTGGAGATTCTCCAAGACTACGACTTTGTCACCACATATCGTAAGGGCGTCCGCCACACGAACGCTGACGCCCTGTCGCGGTTGCCACCCACGTCGGAGTGCACTTGCCTCCTGGGTTCGGGGCGTTGTAGGCCCCCGAACGTCACCACCGATTCGGTCCTCGTGGCCGCCGCCGATGCGCCTTCGGCTTCGGGTCCTATCGAGCAAGAAGGGAGGGATTCGTTGCTGGGGTTGTCGGTCGCGGAATGAGGGCGCCTCCAAATGGAGGACACCTCCCTCCTCGCTCTGCGCCGTCGCGCCGGGGGGGTTGGGCAGGGGGTGGCGAACGTTGACTCGTGGGGATTGTTCCAGGGTCTTTTAATGCACTGGGACGGAAAAACCCGCCGCCAGCGGCTCGTGGTGCCTGCAGCATTGAGGGGTAAGGTGGTATGGGCTGTTCATGAGCGGCTTCTGCACTTGGGGGTTCACAAGACCTTTGCCACGCTCCAGCTCGATTTCTTCTGGCCGGGCATGGCAAAGGACGTGGGGGATCTCCTGGGGTCGTGCACGCAATGCGCGCAGCGGAAGCCACCAGCTAGGGGGTCCAACCCTCCGCTGCAGTCCATAAAGGTTTCCCGGGTTAACGAGCTCGTTGCTCTAGACATACTCGGGCCATTTCCCGCTACACCCAGGGGGAATAGGTATTTATTGACAGGGGTCGAATACTTCACGAGATGGCCTATGGCCTGGCCCCTGGCCAACCAGTCGGCAGCAGCCATCGCGGAGGCCTTTGTCCAGGGCTATGTCCTCGACAAAGGTGCTCCGGAACGGCTGCTTACTGACCAGGGTAAGAATTTTTCGGGAAAACTCCTCCGCGAGGTGTGCGACCTCTTGGGTACGGAGAAAATTCGGACCTCCCCGTATCACCCACAAACTGACGGGATGGTGGAACGGCTGCATCGGACCATCACGTCTATGCTGTCCCAACAGGTGTCGGAATCCCAGACAGATTGGGACCTTCGCATAGCCGGTGTGTTGCAGGCCTACAGGATGGCTCCCCATGCGGCCACCGGATTTTCCCCTTTCTTTTTAATGTATGGCCGCGAGGCTAACCCCCCTGTGACGACCCAGCTGAAGCTCTCGGCGCCTCAGGCGAAGTCTACCTTGTCCAAACACGTTAAATTTAACATCAGCAAATTATCTGAGGCGCGGGAAGCGGCCGTGCAAAATTCTGAACTCCGCCAGAGGGCGAACGAGAGGCTTCGGCTGGGGCGGGTACATGTGTTCAAATGGAAACCAGGGGACAGGGCATGGTTGCATTGTCCCCAGGTGCCGCTGGCAACCTCGTCAAAGTTGGTACGGCCGTGGCGGGCGCCAGTGGAGGTCGTACAGGTCTTGCGGCCGCAATGTGTTCGCGTCAAATGGGGGAGGCGTCGGTGGTACGTGCACCCCTCAAGGTTGAAACCGTTCATCGCGCTGCCCCATGGTTCACACACACACACGCATGGCCAAACGTGTGAGGGTTCCGCCGACTCCCCGACGTCGCTGCTCTCGCCTAACCTGACATCAACTGTTCCGTCTCCAGGTGCAACAGGAGTGACGGGTCCACGCCCGCCAACCCCTCCCGGAGGGGTCGGAGGTCACTCGGCAGCGACGCCAGACTCTATTGCACCCGGACCGTCAACAACCGCCACTGAGCGTGCCGGGACGGGCCCTTGTGACGGGCCCGCCGCGAGAACGCGCGCCAAAACGCGCAGACTATTGTAAGGTCGGCCGTTGGGGGGCCTTGCGGACAGTGGGGGGGGGAGGCGTCCGGAGTGCGTGTATATATGTTGGTTTTGGGGAATGGGGTATTTATTCGGGGGGATGCGTCGGGTTATTTTTTTCTCTTCCTGTTGTTGTTCTTGTTATTGTTCTCTTTGTTCTTGTTAAAATTACGCGAGGCACACACACGGTTTTCGGGAGGGATGCACCTTTATTCTGATTTTTTTCTGCAGCCGGGGACGGCTGCGAGCTGTACAGGGGGGGGTGATGTAGAGGTGTAATTGTGCATGGCCACGGATGTAGAGGCGTAGTTGTGCATGGCCACGGATGGCTAACAAACACAAGGGGCGGGGTTACGGCCGTACACAGGGGAGGTGCTCGCACCGACGTCCGCACCTGCATCCCCCACGGGCCCCTCCCGGGGGCCGAGTCCTATAAAAGGTGGTGAGACGGAGGGCTCGAAGTCGAGGTATCAGCTTTAACCAGCGAAGACGGAAGACCAGCTAGCATAGGCCCCGGAGCTCCCCTGGCTCGCTGTCCTTATCAGGGCCGACCAGGGCAAGCCGGTGGCGTGGCCCCGAGAGCCCGGACTGACAAGCCAGTCTGGAGACTCAGGGTTCCGGGATCCCAGCTTGACCAGGGCTGGGATAGTTAGCCTCCCCTAGCTCCGTAGTGGAGGACTTGGGCGTAGGTTAGAGGGGTTAGAAGTCGTGTATCCCTGTAGCCGAGTGAAGGGGACGATACCCCCTTTAGTATTGTGTGTACCCATTACAAGTTGGTGTCAATAAATAAGTGTGCCTCCGATCCTGTCGTCAAGCCTCCTGATACTTACTACACAAGCAGTTGGCTGTAGACTAAGGTGGCTTGTGTAGCAGCAGCCAAAATGCAGCAAAAGTTTGAAACAAGATGAAAAAATGTGTAAGAAGAACACAGTCATTGTGCATATGCTAAAAAAACATCAGTATTTCCTCAAGAAGTGCATTGTGGTCCATTTGTCTTTGATCACCATCAAATTCAACTTGAGTAAATGTGACTGACAGCAATATGGTAACACAAGATAAGATAATCACAATGCACTTCTTCAGAAAAATATTAGGTATTTACACAAATGCACAATGGGTGTATGCATTTTATGCAGGGATGTTTTAAACTCATGGTTTTCCAGTTTGCATTACCACTCTGTTACAATGGATGTAATTCGTCATTTCAACATTTTAAATACGTAGCAGCATGCACGCCAAACCTGGCAACAACAAAGTGCACAGCAGCATGCTTCATGAGGCCTTATCTGGCATCAGATTCGCATGATAATATTTCAGGCTTCTTCAGGCCCAGTGAGGCTTGGTGTTAATGGAGAGCCTGTGTGTGACCCGATTACATTACAGAGTTGGATTCTAAAGATTATTGGACACCAATCGTGTCCCAGCCAACCCTTCTAACTACATTACAAGTGGTTATACAGTATTGTTGTTGTTTGTCATTGAGGAACTGACAACTGTTGTCTTAATTATTATGACCCACGTTTCTCTGCCCACAGCTGCAATTAAGGTGATAAGATTCCCTCTAAGCTGGGAATTATGACTTTGGTTGACCGGATAAGTTGTTATACCTTACACATGGTGGTAAAATGTTATTCAACATTACGTTTGCTGTGCAATATTGCTATATGGCCAATGACTTTTGCTATACATGTTAATGTAATGCATTTTTAATGTTCAGGTTTTTCTGTAATTTTGCATTTGGTGATAAGTACCTGGTCAAATTGATGTTTGCAACAAGCATGGCAATGGAGGGCCAAATGTACATGTGATTGTTTTCCTGTTCCAAAAGTTCAAGGTCAGAACCGTGTGGAAAATGGTTCTGATGCATTTCTGTACAGATCTGCATGCATCTTCTTACTGTAGATGCTGTGCACGAACTAGTAATTTTTGCGATAGATAAAAACTTAAAGGGAGCCAGTTTCAAAGGAAATAATGTTATATTCATTGATATAATTTTATATGTACAAAAACTATGATTTTAACCATAGTATGTAAACACACTATAAGTGCAACTACGCCCATCCCTAAAGCGCACACACAACAAAAACAATAACTCCTACTCACCACTAAGTGGCTTGTGCCAGACTATAGGTGCATGTTGCACACACACATACAGATACGGCTACATTCATTCCTACAGTACAAACACATACTCCTACACTCATCCTTACAGCATATGTAACAAAGACAAAGATACCCTGTATAGCCTTAACAGACATTTGGGGCAAGTGCTTTTTCGACCACTTTGAAGGCTAGCACAACACACGAGGGGGTGAGTGGCCAGCACATCGCCGGCTGTCTTTGTCTGTCCCAATTGGCGATGTTTACACACTGCACCAGGTACTCATGTAAGACTAAGTCGACCTAGGGGAGGCCCCGGATCAGTTCAAATAATCGTCACTGGTGTTGGTCGCCGTGAGCAGGAGTCGAACTTGAGTCTCCAGGTTTGTAGCGCAGCACGCTAAGAACTACGCCACCGCTTCCCATACAAACAAATACACCTACATTCACCATTACAGCAGAAACAAAGACACACACACACATGTGCACCCACACTCACCCGTCTAGTGCCTGGAAGTTGATGTAATGCTCTTCCTCCAGTTTACTAGGAGTGAACCTGATGCACGTCTTGCTATGGTATTCCTGGAAGGCTTGCTCAATGACCTTCTTGTCACTGGCGCCTAGAAAACAAAGCATGAGGATTAAGCAAGTTCAAATACATTCTATGCTTACGTATCGAACTATGTTCAGGAGCTATATGCCAATGTTGTGGTCTGATAGTCACGAGTGGGCTTCAAGAGAGAGTTTGTCTAGTTTTGCTATTCCTCCGTTGAAGGAGTGCAGACTACAATTATTTACTGTGGTCCAATGTTTGGGTTGCATGGCCAAAATCACGCTGTTGCTTGCGTCTGTCACATCTTATTCTCCAATATATTTTTTTTGCCTGAGCCCGAGTGCCAACCAGCAGAACGTCCGATTTAACTGGATTAAGCAGCATTTATTTTCGTGCAAAACACGTGCACCACTTGCGTACAATCTTCGAGGTTACCAAGGCTCTCAATATGTAAATTTTACTTCACTGCAGTGTACAATTGTGCATCTTGAAGTGTACTCTGCTACCCACATCAAAACTCCTTACAATTTACAAAGGCCACATCGCAGCATGGACGCTTCTATTGCTGCTGCAATGTTGTTGTATAGGAAGTCATTTCTTTTCAATCACACAATTATCCCACAAATGATTGTTGATTGATTGATAATAAAACATATTTAGGGTAATGTACCCCCCATTAATGGACTCTCTGGACGAGTTTGTAAGATATAAGAGGATTACCTCTCAATCATATCCCAGTCGATGCATTTAACCCCAAATAAAGCCATGCAGTCTACTGTGCACTGCACTCACTGAAAGCGATGGAGATGTTGTAGGGGATGTACACGTTGCCATCCTGGTGTTTGGGCCACTCCACAATTTTCTCCAAGGGGTCACCTGCAATGTCTCCAGTCCTGAGGACTTTGGAAGCTAGGAAAACAAAACAAAGTTTGAATGTGCAATTAGTAAACCACCTGTATATATATAGCCATTAACAATGGAACGTCTCATATTCAAGGGAGATCTGCATCATCAAAGTGAATATAGCGTTTGTCCTAGGTGTGTTATTAAGTGGTTCGGTGTCACGGAAAAAAGATTGCTGAGAAAGGCAAGGGGAATCCACCTGAGTCATCATTCTCTAGCTATGACTCAAGAGCCCTCGTGTGGAGCGTGGTGCTGTGAGGTGACGAGGGGCAGTGAGATTGGTGAAATGGAGGAACCTTGAGCCATGGACCTGCTCTTGGGCAGCAGACTTTAGAGAGAGGTGTACAAAACGGAAACCGTGATGATCGGATACAGAGACCAATATTGTCCAAAACATAAAACCTTTGTGTGTAACATTATGCATCAATCTTGATTTGAAGCTTTCGTGACTGCAGGAATCCATACTCTCTGGTTCTTTCGGTAAAGTCACGTAGGTATAAAATAAAGGTAATCACGACGTTTAGGGCGCAACAAAAGCTTCCGTCATCAGGTGGGAAACGTCATGATTTATTTTATTTTATACCTACGTGACTTTACTGGCAACAAAACAGGTGTTAAGATGTTACGCCTTTTGGCGTCCTCTGGTCTAACACCGTTTGAGACTCGGCTCGTAAGAAAGCTGTCTCTGGTGTGGACCAATCAGTTTCAAAGACAATGCATATACTATCAGAGTAGGTTATTTTTGCATTCTGAACACAAGTTAATGCACACATGATTCCTTGTAAAAGGTTTTAGTTTGGTGTTTTAACATCTTAATACCTGTTGTGTTGCCAGAAAAAAGGGGACAACCAATTCTAACATTATGAAAATTTACCATAAAAAAGGTTAAACAGAACTTAAAATATCAGTAACAATACAAATGAAACTGAGGTCGGAAAAATTATCAAAAACACTTGCATTCATGTTTTCTAAGTGAAGAGTCAAATCCCCCATATAAGCCAACTGGGAGCGATGGCTGTTAAATGTACAGGCAGACCTTGCTTAGCGCTCAAAATGCGTTCCTGGAGAAGTGAGTGTGAATGGAATGGGTGCTAAAAGGATTGTATTTATGGAGATGCGTTCGCAATAGCGTTATTTATTTTGTATGAGCAATATATGAGGGCTTAGTTGGAGTATTGGTAAGTGCTAATAAAACAGATTAAAAATATTATTTCACAAATCAAAAGTACAATGTATTTTATCATTAAGGATGTTGTACTGTACTCATGAGTGCATTCTGCTGTACTCCTGCAAGGCAGTGGTGGGAGATAAGGTTGTAGGAGCTCCTGTACTCCCAATCCCCAATACCCCAGAGAATTGATCCAGGTCCTCCGTGATCTTAGTGATGCACTCCGTATAAATTTATGTGGTGAGGTTTATTTTAGGTGATGCCTAAAACTCTATCCTGGTCTCGTGAGTTCTCTCCTGGCTAAACACATTTTTTTTTGGTTTTATGTAATCGTGATTACGAATCGTGAAAATCGATTTGCAGGGGGTGAGATGTAGTTTGCTCTGTCACTCTCATTGGCTGAGTGAATGATGAGGGCGTGTATATTTCCTTGTCCGGCACTGCTTCTTGTTCTCACTCGTAAGCACTGTTTAGATTTTTCGTTAAAAAAATCTCCAGGATAAAGAGCGCTATAACAAATCAGCGTTCTATGGGGTCACGCTAAGCGAGATCTGCATGTAATGGGGATGCGATAGTGTTCCGTGAATGAGAAGCATCGATGGTGAACGGACATTCTCTAACTGCAGCACTCACTCTCGACCTGAGCATAGGGATTCTGTTGTCTCTGAAGTTACAATAAAGATCCAATGGCGTCATTTGCAATTGTAGACAATTATGTGCCGGCATGATGGACCAAGTTTGAAAAATTACCCACAAATTACTCAATTGGGGTTATACATCACAATCATCCCCCCTACTGTGGCAACTTGGCAGGACCCTCCTGAAAGAATCGTAAGACTCAGTGAGGCTTTCCTGGGTAAACAAGTGTAATAATAATAAATAATAAAGCACAAGGCTTAATGGAATGCCAGGCATTGAGATTTTAAAACTGTAATTTGAGCAGATGTATACATCACATCACCATAAATAAAAACAGTCACAAAAGTGGGAGTAACAAGTTTGTATCAAGATGGTGATGAGAAACATTATTTATAACTGAAAATACCTAACTTAATGTTTGAGTCTCTTGGTTGTTTTTTTTAATGTGTGCCAACATTTAAGTAGCGTTCACAATGAATGCTAAATAATGCCAATTGTGGAGTAACTTAATTCTTTTTAGACTACAAAATAATGCTTGAGTAAATTTCGATTTAAAGCTTTCGTGACTGCAGGGATTCATCTTCTTGGTTCTTTCGGTAAAGTCACGTAGAAGGGAAGTAATAAAATAATAAAAATAAAACATAATAAAACAATTCTCACGACGTTTCGGCCACAACGCAAGCAGCCGTCCTCAGGTGAAAACCAGGTCCGTCGAGGCGACAGAGTCTGAATGAAACAGCACACGAGCTTGGTCAATGCGCCCAGCTTATATATATGCTCCAAGCTCGTGTGCTGTTTCATTCAGACTCTGTCGCCTCGACGGACCTGGTTTTCACCTGAGGACGGCTGCTTGCGTTGTGGCCGAAACGTCGTGAGAATTGTTTTATTATGTTTTATTTTTATTATTTTATTACTTCCCTTCTACGTGACTTTACCGAAAGAACCAAGAAAAATGCTTGAGTAGCCATATGCTGAGATTACAATATCTCTCAGGAGCCAGTGTTAGACCAGAGGACGCTTAAAGGTGAACAGCACAAAGACAACGCACTATCAGGACTTTGTGAGTTCTGGGTGAGCAGCTACATCACCCCGAGCTCTCAATGTCCTGATAGTGCGTTGTTTCTGTGCTCTGGTCTAATACTGTTTGAGACTAGGCTCTAAAGAAAGCTGTCTGGTGTGGTCCAATCAGTTTAAAAGACAATGCATATACTGTCAGAGCATGTTTTTTTGTTTGCATGTTCACCACAAGTATATGTGGTTAATGCAGACATGATTCCTTGCAAAGGTTTCAGTTTGGTGTTTTAACATATTAACACATGTTTTATTTCCAGAAAGGGGAAACCCGTATTATCATAATTTAATACTGGCAAAGGGGGTTAAACTAATTTGCTAAAATATCAGAGTGGCCCATCATGGCCATTATAGTCCATTACACCATCACACCACACCATCCCACTATACCAGGGGTCTGTGTACTGAATGGCTTATGCATTACTATAAATTGCATTGGCCAAGATTCGTCCCAATTTCGAGTCCCTATGTGATTCAAGTAAGGGGAATGCATACATTTCTGTGAAAACATTAGGAGCAGTTGGGACCAGCCTTAGATTCGTCATTACTCGTGTCGGCGTACAACCACGTTCTCACTAACAATAACTGCCATTTGGAACTAAGTGGTGGTGATGTCACCATGGTGCTTGTGCCAGGATATGTGCACTTTAAGGCCACGTGTAGTGTTGAAGGCTCGCTGGCAGGTGACTGGGCAGACCCAGATGGCATGGGTTGACTGAGATGACTGGCAGATGCACCACCTGTGTCCCCTACTGTGCCAATTGCTGTGTTTTAGCCACCTGGCACTTCGCTCATTGTTGCGAGCATCACTCCTCTGCTCTCCGCTGTTGTTGGAGGGCGACTTCCTCCAACTGTGCAATAACGTCCTTCGCGAGCCTCCTCCACATCTTGACAACGCTGGTAGCAATTATTGGTAATTCCGCTCAGCTCCATATCCTCTTCTATGCATGCATGTTGAACTTCTTTCGCACCATACATAGCGAACCATGCTAATCGGAGGTGTACCACATCAATCTATCTCTTCTCTAGCCCATAGCGTGCCCATTAACCCCCTCTATCTGGCCAAATAAAAGCTTTTTGGGTATGTGGTGGCTGGCCATGTGCGCTACATGCCCCAGCCAACACAGCCCTGCCTGTCAGAGGAGCTCACTGATGGAACTGTGTCTAGATCTTCCAAGGATTTTTGAGGCCCTCACATGAAATCCAGCGTGGTTAAAGCCAGGATGCATAATTGGCTGGCCAGTCTGAATGTTTCTAACCGCACAGATGTTCCATTAGAGGGCTCCAAGTATTGCAAGCATAGAGATGGCACTAGACAGCACTAAGCGATGTACTTAGATTGCTGAAGAAAACAGCGCTTCTCACACACTGTGACTCCTATAACAGTCCAAGCACATGTCGCGGCAGTGCGGTGACATAGCTATATTTTAATGATTCGTAATAATGATGTATTATTACACTTGTTTACCTCGGAATAATCACTGAGTCTCAAGACTCTTTCAGCAGGGTCTTGATAAGTTTTCACAGTAAAGGGCGACAATCAGTATGTATTTCCTAATTAAGTAATTTACAAGTAATTTAACACATTTGGACCATGACGCCACCACACAATGGCCAACTGTTGTTCTAAGGACTTTATTAAATCTTTAAAGTCCAGGTTGCAGCAGATGGCGCGTAATGGCGAATACACCCCCAGTATTTATCAGTGTAGCTTATCGAGTTCAAACTGCGGACCTCTGCAACAACTGCAACAAGTGGCGATTGAGCTGCCGATGGGCAACATCGCTGATAATCTCAAAACTGATTTACTCTTCACATGTTTATTATACATCAAACTTTAAAGCACAAATTTACAGCGCTTGGAGTTTTTTTGCGATATCTTTAAGCCTGAAGTGATGGCATGGACTGATATTTCATCTCAGTGTGCAATGACTAGAGAGAGATGCTAGCTTGCATTCTACAAATATTAACTTCAAGTACTTAAAACGTGTTTTATTAGTATTTAGAAATTCAAATCAACAAACTCATATTTCAAATGTAGAGCTAGCCCAGACAACGCATTGCTTACCTTCATCTGCTGCCTGAACAGCCAGGACATTGACGATTTTTGCGACCACAAGCAGAAGAGGAATTCTGTATGACTCTGCCTTGGGAAACTCGAGGATTTTCTTGAGCAGCTCTAAAGGAGATGATATTACATATTAAACCACAACTTTTTAGCAACCAGGACTCTCTTGTATTTAAACAGTACAATTCTAACACATTAATTCCAGGGTAATGTTTAATCTCTCTGTCAGCACCAGCCCCATTTTACATGCACAGATAAAAATGTAGTTGATAATTTGTTTTAAGTTTGCTTCTTAAAGAAATAGTTTTTACATGGACGGTCCTCAAACATTTTACCTGCTGCATGCTCACTCACGCAACCCTTTGGTGAAACTGAATTGCTTTATTATTCAGTGGCTTTACATGAACACAGTACAAAACATTTTAATATGTCATCATATTCAGTCTTGCCTTCCCATAAAATCTATAATAAAAAGCTGTTTCTTTTCTTATTTGTTTTATTAACGAGTTACATTTCTTATTATATCTGTTCTAGACAGTTGCACTTTATTTTGTGTGCAGTTGCAATTTACTTTGCTCAGTCTATTTTAGCCGTTGAGGTTGTGATGGGTTTCTTTATTTGATTCATGTTGCTCTATGCCTCTGTACCGTTCCCGTTCTGCTGTTATGTGCACCAGTTCCTACTTTATTGAGGGCGATATTGGCACGTAAAATAAAGACAGATTGATTGATTTATGAATGCAGCATGATTTTTTGAATGTCAGACATCGATAATTCCGACTCGTGACTGAATGTGTATGAATTTTTGGACGTGATGATTATTTTTGTGAGCATTTGTCCTGGATGTATGGGCAATTGCATGCACAACTATTTGCGAGTATTTATGTGATTTGTGTTTGCATGCATTATTGTCTGGGCGTAGTGGGAGTGCAAGACCATGGGTTATATAAGCAGCTGGGGGCGGGGCAGTCACATGTCCACACTGGTTCTAGTAGGCACAACAGGAGGTACTTAACCCTTTCCCATACTCTTTTGTTCTTTCGGTAAAGTAACGTAGGTATAAATCAAATAAAACAAATTACGACGTTTCGATCGCAACACAAGCAATCTTCATCAGGTGGAACAATGTACGTATATATACGTGTATGTAATCAGTTTTTCTTACAATACTGTTCCGATGGCGTATGTTTAACTTTATCAGTACTGAGGCTCCTACAAGGCCATGCAGGAGGGCATGTGGCAGAGTTTGGTGCTAGCTATCATAGAGTGCGGCCTTGTCACTACAGTTCTCTGCAGTGAGTACAAACAGTGCTATGCCTCTCTAAATCAAATTTAATGCTAACCGCTTGCACGTTCCGAGATTCAGCGATCAACGAGACCCACCCTGCAACTTGCAGATATCTTGGAGCGGGAAAGGGTTAACAGGAGCCAAAGTGCCAAATGTCTCTTGGAGGCAGATAGCCGATAGCCGATCACAACATAAACAAATATGGCAAAAACGCTAGAATATTCCCCTATTTGTGCATCCATATCGTTGCATGACAAGTTGGTGTGAGAATCAGAATGGGCCTAAATGCAAAACAACAGCATAGCGAGTGGGATGAATGAACCCAAACAGTTGACGACTTTACTTTGAATCTCGAATCCTTGAACAATATTGTGGTGTGACAGTAGTACTTGGTGACCTGTTGTAATCTGAGCAGTAGAATTTAGTGGGAAAGTGATCATTAATTAGTGTTGTTGTTTACTTGTGACATGTGAAATGTTTTTATAATCTGCGAGGAAGAAAGCTCAATGCCCAAAACGTCTCCTATTGTATTTGTAATAAAAGGACTCGAACACTTCTTTCTGTCTTCGTGTCTTTATTCGGGTTCTCGTCTTTACCCACACGGCACTCTGTTATAACTCCTGTATTTGTAGCCCCCGGCTATTCACTGTTATTGTAGCTTCTTCTTCCCTCCGACTCTCTGCTTCATCTACCCCCCTCTTCCCTGCAGACTCGCTGCTACCCTTGCAGACTCCCGCTGCCACTCTTATGTGCAGACCCTCCGGCTGCTACTGTATGCAGACCCGCTGCCCACTCTTGGTCTCTGCAGCCCCCGCTGCTGACTGCAGCCCTTCCTGCTGCCTCGGGTCGGTCACCGCTGGCCTACGGTGCCGATCCTCGTTGCTCCCCGTGTTCGTGGCGATCTCGCCACACCCCGCTTCGCCCTACGTGGCCTTCCTCCGTTCCTGGTTCCCCGTCACTCCCCTTGCTCTTCCGGTTCCCCTCCTTCTATACTCAACCCCTCTCCCCCCACGTGACCTAACTCCTCCCCCCCTGACGGCACCTCCGAAGGGCCGTTTACAACCGCATTACATATTTATAATATTCCTTTCATGGCAGTGTTATTGACGAATGTTTTGAGTTTAGTTTTATTGTTATTGTGTTTTCTTGGTTACCTGACTAGCAAATCCAAGTTCTACACATCTTGTTGACATTTGACATTGAATAGTGTTGTGGTTTTAACTGAGATACTTTAACATGCACATTTAGTGCAAAAGGCAAAAGCGTCGACTTGGCTGCTTCCTGTGTGTGTTTGGTGGCTGACTGTTTTGAGTGGAATCGCATCTTGACCTGTAATTACTTATGCTGCTCTAATATGGTGATGTCAGCAAATGAGTATTAGCATCATAGTATATAAATCAAATACACAAAACGTTTTGTAGAGAGTGAGCGTGGAGACTCTCACCTGGGCCACCACCCGCTCTGTAAGCCGTGTGCAGCACCTCCTTCTCCTGCGCTGGGCAGTTCGCAGACAGAAGCTCCAGCAGCTTCTCCAGGCGCGGCACCGTGGAGCTATCGTAACTGTGAGACAACACAGAGCATGACCCAGGAGTAACACAGCCTCATCTCACAGCTACAGCAGCCTCTCCAGGTGAGTCACCGTGGAGCCATCACTCCGGTTAGACAACACAGAGTGTGAAGCAGAGAAACACAGCAGCAAACATTATTTAATCTGCAATGCATAACCAATACTGTTACAGAGTAAGCAATTATGTATAACGACCTATCATTACCAATATAGTTGAAACAAATCTCTAGTGAGATCACTAGAAATTTTGCAGAGATCCCAGACCTCATCAGTATCACAGTCGACAAAAAGTGGTAGAATAGCTTCAACAATTTGCAGGCGCACTCAATGTATATTTTCTTTCAAATGTTGTCAATATGGGATCGAAATGTAAGTTTGAATCTATCAATAAACCCAATAATTCTAAACATTCCGTTTGTCCAATGATGTTGTTTCTGATATCCGTAATAGGTGAAGGGAATGAAACTGAATTCTTGTTGATAGAAAATAGCATGATATTAGTTTTGTGGGCATTTAGGAGCAATTTTAGTGATGACAATGTATATTGAATGAAGTCAAAATGGTGTTGGAGATTCGGATTGACTTTGTTTGGAGATTTACCTAATGCTAGCATGACAATGTCACCAGCAAAGAGATTTTATTCTGAGTGGTTAAGGTTTAGTCCAAGATTGTTTAGATATGAGAACAGAATTGGACCCAGCACACAACCTTGTGGAACACCCTTTGTTATTTTAATATTTGCAAACAATGTTATCACTATGTACATTTTGAGAACGGTCAAAGAGCTAACTCTAAAAACATTTTATTGTACCATCTGAAAATTTTAGTTGACCTAATCTTGTGAGTAGAATATCATGTTCAATGGTGTCAAAGGCTTTGACATGTCCAGAAATATTGCACAGCAGCAGTGGCCTTTATCCAGGTTAATCAAGAAAACATGAAATACATCCATCATAGCTGTGGTAGTGCAGTAATCCTCTGGAAAACCAGATCGTTACTATGCAGGAGATTATGGGTTTTTAGGAAGCAGCTTAAATGTGTGTGAGCGGTTTATAGACGAGATCTGCCACAGCCAGAAGTTCAAATGCAGTTAACTCGTCTTCTCCCGTGGATGACGATGTCTTCATTGATGCTAGCTTATGCAGCAAGTCTAGTTCAGATATGGGACTAAACAAGAAGTAGGGCCGAAGACTTTCACTGACATTTTTAGGGTTGGTGCATGAGGAGGAAGAAGTGAGTGTGACCAGTGGTGTATTTGGAGAAATGCTACTCTGGTGTTTTGCCAAAGACACATTCTTCTGATCTAAAATGAGAATTCAATCCATGGCCAATGTCTTCCCATCCAGGAAGAGTTTTTTTGGGAGAACATTTTGCTTAACTGAATTGAATGTTTCCAGAAGAGTCTTAGATTTTTTTGTGAATTTCAAATAGTTTGAAGATAAAATTTAGCTTTTCTTATTTGGCAAGTACATCTATTTCTTAGTGTTCTATAGGTATGCCAATCAAGGAGGTAGTTTGATGTTTTGCATTATTCCACGCTATATCTCTAGTTTTCATGAATTCAGAAATGTTTGGCTCAACCCATGGTGGGACAATCACCCTTTATTCTGAACTTTTTTAAGGGGGCATGTTTGTCAATGATTTTTATGAACTGGTTCTTAAAATATGTCCAAGCACTTTCAAAAACTGGAATTTTACTCACCATATCCCAGTCAAAATGAAGAGTCATGTTTAAATGCTTGAAGATCAACATTTAAAAATGAGTTCTGTATGACTAATGGCATGGTCACTGGGATGGTTACCTAAGAATAGCAAGTATGGACAAGCGATCTGAAGTTGATATACTAGGTCTATTGGTTGAAGTAATCGATAGGTTTAGATTGTAAAGATCAATGTGTCATGTGGTGGGTTTAGCAAATTCCAATTGAAACCCCTATGATTAATACCTCACCTTTTGTAATTGGTGACATCATTTTATCCAGAGATTAATTTGTTATTTTGCTATTTGGTGGTCTATAGCAACACATTGGAGTAAAGTGTTCGTTACCTTGAGAAGAAATTAGTTGTGCAATAATGTCAAAAGAGCCATGGTCAGATACAGTGGTAGAGTGTAATCAAGGGAGGTTATTTTTCACATATACTGCCACACCTACTCGTCCTCTTAATTGTCTAATAAAAATATATTTTATCCTTCAAAATCTGTTAGGCTAGGATTTATATTCGTGGAAGCCATGTTTAAGACAGACAGAAGATGTCCGGATTATTGAATAAAAAAATGTATTGTCCTAATTTAGCTATAATGCCTCCAAATATTAACATGGGCAATGCCAAGACTTTTAAATTTCGATTTAAAGCTTTCATGACTGCAGAGATTTATATTCTTGGTTCTTTCTGTCTCTGTGTTTGTATATGTGGATAGCCTCATGAACGATGCTGTGGTTTTCGCACCTGATAATGATTGCTTGTGTTGCAATCGAAACATCGTGATAATTTTATTGTTTTATTTGTATTATTTATATTATTTTCCTTCTACTTTACCGAAAGAACCAAGAATATGAATGCCACGACTGTCTGTTTTTTTAATCAATTGAGTTATGGGTGAGTGCTGGAGAAGATTTGGCATTAATGGGACCAGGATTTGTTTCAACACTCAACCTAATCAACAACATAAATATTAATATTTTTACAATGTATTTTAGACTGGAGTGCTGTCCTCAATGATTTTGCATGGGCTCTCTGGACCAGCAGTGTCTCTTGTCAGTGCCCTCTGTACCCAGAATGTCTTGTGATCGTACTTTAAGGATGAGACACTCACGTGCATTGCGTCTCCACCTCCGTGATAACCTTCACAACTGGGTCTCCTTTTGCGTTTAATGCCCGCACTGTAAAGAAGTGAGCAACAACACAAGATGGGCAGGTTAGATATTAGTGGGTCCTTCTAAGAATTTGAAAAGAAACTAAAGGTGAAGGCATAAACTTTCGAATGTAGTTGTAAAATATTAAAAACATACTTCACAATGCATTTTAAATGTCACAAATAATTAAGAGATGGGCGGGGCTTGGTTACATCATCAGTATTATTAGCGCGTCACACTGGGAATGGCTCAAATGGGGTTTCCCACCTTCAGGAGGCAGGATGTGGTGCCCGTCGCCATTTTTAAATGGGCCTGAGTAATCAACCACAAAATAGTCAACTGCAAATGTATTCAATTAGTCGACCTAATTGACTAATTGTCCCAGCTCTACTGTACTGTGTGCACGAGCTTGGTGCTCCACTCATAGGCAAGGATTTTCTTCAGGTGGGGAGGGTTTCTTGTAGAAACAAAATAATAATACAAGACGTTACAGACCAGTGCCAATCAACTGCTGAATGACGGCATCTGCTGACTTGTTGGTCATGGGGATGGCTTGACAGTACTTCACCACACTGATCAGTGCCGGTTTGTGAAATTCTTTACAAATTGTATAGAAAATCTCCAAACAGCTTCATGAAAAAATCTTACAAAAAGCATTGATATCGTGATAGACATTGGGTTGTTATAAGTGTTAAGGTGTGATCGATGCAAAAATAGTATTCATTACATCGATACTCTTTCAAATACATTGTGACGGATCACTGTAATTGTAAAATAAAATCCCCTGAGGCTCCATATTGTGTTCTTTATAACACATGCAAACTTCACCTTTGGCTGCTTTTTCCTCCTTCACCTCCTCCTCTGTCTGATGAGAGAACAAACAAAACCACGACAACCATCAGCACCGAGAGCCAGGAGGCAAGCCGAGCACAACGGTGCACAGGGGACCACAGGAGGTGGCCTCGTCTCTCCCTGCTCGTCCCGGTGGCACAGTAATGGGACTGCCGGTCTGGGAGGTGGCACCCTGCTACCACTCAAACTGTTCGACCGATTAAAGTAACATTTTGTGAAAAACCGGACAATATTTTTTAATTTGTGTAATTTTTTTTTATTGATTTAAAATCATGCTCCAAAGGACATACCAATTACTTTGCAAAATAATGAAATATGAACTCATGATGAAACTACTCCATATCCATAACAATCATAAATGAATAAAAGTAAAAAAGCCAGTAAACAGGCCTGACATCAGCGGAGCTTAGTGAGCTCATTCACTAAGCACTGCTGCACCGGCGGCACTGCGGTGTCTCCATGAGGAAACGTGAGCAGCCAACTGAGCGAGCAGAGTGGTGGCGGCCAACAACACCCACAGCGGCAATACCACGCATACAACCCTCCACAGGGAATGCCTGGCGAAAATGCATAAACATTCTTTACATAACAACCACACTGGAATTATGAGGTAATGTTATTGAATGTATCTATTAAAAACCTTAGTAACTAAAGAGTTGTAAATTACATGAAAAGGAGTCTACAGATTTACCCACATAAACGTAATTTTATACCTCATTAGTGCAATCAGTGCCATTTTACCATCTGTGAACAAAGTCGGTGAAACCGGCACGGTGAGACTCCCGTGGCTATGGGTTGCCATGACCACTTGTGGTGTGGGATCAAAAACAATTCACCCATGAACGATAAAACAACACCCCTCCGGTTCCCGCCGTGTGCACCAAACAAGGATCTCGTTGTCTGTCACAGCAGGAACTCGGCTATGCCTCATTGTTGAACCATCTTGCTTGCAACTGAAACAGCGTTTTGCGTGTTATCCAAACTGCATCGAGCAGTGTGAAGGCGTGCGGTCCTCTCGCTATGCGTTTGCAGTAATGTAGGTCTGGCAGTTTCACAGGAAAACGTTAATGGCCGTTACTTTTAAAGAACCCCATTGTACGTAAACATTAACTTTAAATTACTATACTGATGCAACTTCTGCTCCCCACAAAATATAAAATTACTTTTAACTAAAGCTGACACAATTTATAGTCATGTTTCCCACTGCTTCATCCCTCTCACCTTTTTTCTGGATATGTTCACATGGTTCTCCAGACCTCCGTGTGCTATCACATCTGACAAATCAGCACACAAGCACAATGAACAAAAACATAAATATATAAAATAATTCTTATTGTTCATACATCTGTCTAAAAAGCCAAATGACGCATTTATATGTAAGCTCAAACCCAAATAACCTTCATCATGAAGTCCATAGTTTGTTTGTACTTCAATCAATGCTCGTGAAATTATGCACTCCCAGAAGGTTGATAGGTTGTGTAAGAAATAGTGTCATAACGTATGTAGAGAGATGGATATGTAAAAAAGACATGCTGTCTGTGTATCTAATTTGTTTTCTATATTCTTCAGTCACACTTAAGATTAACGTGAGTTACGTATTATAACAGGACCCTGCGGGGTGGGCTGGTAGGAATAATACTTAGTACCGGTACAGGGATATCGACCGGGTATAGAGGAGTTAAAGAAAAAATACTGTATTCTAGTGTAACGTTAATTAAAAGTGTTTGTTTTGACAAGAAACGCTGTGAGATTTAAAGACCCCCCAACACCACCCCTCCCACCAGCCCTCACCACCCCCCACCACCACCCCCCACCACCACCACCTTCTGTACTAGGCCTCGCGAAGCCTGCCGCACTAGGCCTCGCGAAGCCTGCCGCACTAGGCCTCGCGAAGCCTGCCGCACTAGGCCTCGCGCCGTGCTTTTCGTGCACAAATAAGGCGATTAAATGTATCTCGTCTCTGTGTTAATAAATGTTTCTTGTCTCTGTGTTAAAAAAACATGCTGCGTTTCAGTAAAGTAATTTTTTTTTAAATAAACGTGCTGCGTTTCATCTTAGTGTTAATAAGCCTGCCGCACTAGGCCTCGTGAAGCCTGCCGCACTAGGCCTCGCGCCGTGCTTTTCGTGCACAAATAAGGCGATTAAATGTATCTCGTCTCTGTGTTAATAAATGTTTCTTGTCTCTGTGTTAAAAAAACGTGCTGCGTTTCAGTAAAGTAATTTTTTTTTTAAATAAACGTGCTGCGTTTCATCTCTGTGTTAATAAGCCTGCCGCACTAGGCCTCGCGAAGCCTGCCGCACTAGGCCTCGCGCCGTGCTTTTCGTGCACAAATAAGGCGATTAAATGTATCTCGTCTCTGTGTTAATAAATGTTTCTTGTCTCTGTGATAAAAAAACGTGCTGCATTTCAGTAAAGTCATATTTTTTTTAAAATAAACGTGCTGCGTTTCATCTCTATGTTAATAAGCCTGCCGCACTAGGCCTCGCGAAGCCTGCCGCACTAGGCCTCGCGCCGTGCTTTTCGTGCACAAATTAGGCGATTAAATGTATCTCGTCTCTGTGTTAATAAATGTTTCTTGTCTCTGTGTTAAAAAAACGTGCTGCGTTTCAGTAAAGTAATTTTTTTCAAAAACGTGCTGCGTTTCAGTAAAGTAATTTTGAAGTGAAGTTTAAAGTTTTGCCGTGATGCGCCGGAAGCGACGGCCATCTTGTTTAATTCACAGATCGCAGGGGGAGCGGGCGGCCATCTTGTCGGACAGGGTCATGCCAAGTGTTTGCAGTAGGGGGCGATGTTGATACACGGACGGACGGAAGGACACATTAATCTATTGGTGGTCTGGTCCACTTCGTTCCTACCAGTATAATGTTACATCTAACTAGGAACTGTATCATAGAGGGTCCGTGCCTGTAAGTATTGGCAGTTCACCAGCATTGATTGAAGCTAGCCTCACTCTAATGGTAAGGAGACACTATATAAAAAACAGCTCGTAGTTTTTTGTCTTGAATAAATTCTGCTGAATATCTACACTTCAAGATGGTCGTGTGGACGATAGGTTGTGTAATAAAAACTTTTATTTTTTTACTTAAAAGATGGATGTGCGAAGGAAAGATGTCTTCTTATTCAGTTGGTTATTTATAGTCTCCACAATGACGAGAATTATTCTTTTGAATTATAGGAACGCATAACATTGTAAAGAAAGCTATAGAGTTGACTCAAGATAATGAGCAAAACAAATTCACATACAACAAATTAGCTCAACAATGTCGGAGAGACACATCGCAAAAAACACCGCAGTTGTGGGTGTACCTAAGACAGTTACCGCAGGCGGACTGCGAAAAGATAATGGATGAAAATGTGGAAGAAAGTAGGCCACAGTTATTTTGTGAAACTGAATTCACGATTAAAAGAAACATACCAATGTGCCTCAAGAATTACATGTTATTCTGTGTATACTACCTGCTATGCCGTGGATCAGGGTTATGGACATTGACAAAGAAAATGGAACAAAAGCTGAAGAGTGTGAAGAGGAGCATGCGTGGCAATGCACTCGGACACAGCTATAGGAACTTTCTGCTTCTCACCGAGGATTTGTGAGAGCCACTTTGCCATATTTTCTTCAAATTATCAGTGTGATGCTCTGTTCAATTGGGGATTATCGACTGTGCAGCAAGTTATTTAATTGTGATCTGTTGATGGTGAAGAAGTCATTGGTAATGTTGACATTGTCCTCACATTGCCCCGAGCAAGGCCTGCCTATCGTGCACATTCGTCGTGCAATTCGGATTTCCCTCCCATTGAATGAAACGCTGAGCAGCTCTCAAGTGCATACCAGGAATGTAACGAGAGGCGCAGTGTGTCAGTAGAAAAGGGCTTCCCATCTCCAGGCACATTGAGGGGTTTTGTTTACTACACGATTCGTATATTATACACGTGAAGCTTAAAGGGTGGCACTGGGAGTGGTCAACCAATTCCAGATGTATCACGACCATCGCTAACATTATATTGTAACTCAAGATATGAAGATAACCTTAAGACTAGAATCCTTATGCAATTCCCTGTCCATGAAAAATTACTATTACGAACACTTGTCTTCTTTATTTTTAAGATATACATGTATGTATGTTGAACTTCTTTAGCATCATACGTACCTAACCGTGCTAATTGGAGGTGTGGAGTAGGACAACAAACTAAACACAAAAAGCAGTTCTAAAGAAATACGTTTTCAGTCTAATGTAAAAGTGCATAGCTCCAGTGGCTTCCTAATATTGTAAGGAAGAGCATTTCAGACGGTTGCAGAAGTGCATCTGAAAGCGCGCAATGCAGTGGCCATCTTTGTTTGATGGACAGCCAAAAGCTGCTACGAGGATGGCCGGAGTTTGTGTGAAATTAACGGAGTTCGTGTGAAGATATAAGCTAATGTTGATGTTGTTGAATTATTTGAAGGTACTACTTTAAGAGATCTGTTATTTTCAGAAGCGCAAGTTCCCGTACATCTTGTAACTTGGCAGTGTCTCCTATGAATGGGTTTGTACGAAGGTCATCTCAAAGTTTTGTCATCCCCACCACCAGAACCTTTACGCAAAAAGATATTGGTGGGGTCTCATGTTAAGGTTCTCACACTATCTGGTTGGTTAAGGAATTAAAATAATTACATCAGCTACCAATGACGTGGCCATGGTACAAACCTCAGTGAAGAGGACATCTGAACAAATGACCTCAGTAAACCCACCTGCAGAGTGAGAATTCAGCACTCGGGTTGTTGGAAAGCCATAAAGCTTTTGCACTTTCACGATATCACAGGGGCTCAGGGAGTTGCCGTGCCCCATGTGCAGCATGAGGACAGGATTTTTAGGGATGATCGTTGGGTTGCGCTCGTCCACTGAGCCCGCCGTCCTGAATGAACACACATACACACACAACCCCAAGTACAAAGCACTCCTTGACCAGGCCATTATTTGTAAACACAAATAAGAAATTGGTATACAAATGCAAGATTTAAATTAACAAATATACATTCTACAGGGAGGGGGTGTCGTTATATATTACACGAAGTCACAGTTCACAGGAGTACACAATATTATACATTCTGTAAAGTGGGACAGCTTTCATAGCCCATGGTGCACGACAAAGTTGAGGTATCATGATACATGGGCAGCCAGGGCAGCACCAATGAGTCCCAGTGATATCCTCGTGGGCCCTTCACCACACGAGTCCCAGGACAGGCTGTGTGGGCCCCAGTGCCTAATCACCAATGAGCCCCAGAAGAATTTTGCGGTACCAGGGGCCCGTCACCAGCGAGTCAGCAACAATGAGATTCAAGGCAGCCCTAGGGGCAGATGAGGACCAGGACAGAGACCAGAGGTGGTGCCATTGAAGAGCGAGGACAAGGAGAGGTCAGGAAAGAGTCCAGAGGTGGCATGGGGTTAACGCACTGTTTTTGAGTTGTACGCCTTTTGGTGTCATCTGGTCCAATACCAATGGAGACTAGGCTCTAAGGAAAGCTGTCTTGGGTGTGGACCAATCAACTTCAAGGGCAGTGCATATCATTATCAGAGTTGTTTCTTTTTGTTTGCATTTTGACTACTTTTGTTGTGGTTATTGCAAACATGATGCCTTGTATAAAGGTGTCAGTTTTGTGCCAGTTTAAAAGGTAAAAACCTACTACTATATTTTGCCACTGGTAAAGGAGGTCTCATAGTGTAAATGCTTACCCCGAGCTCTCAATACTCTGATAGTGCACTGTTTTTGAGTTGTACGCCTTTTGGTGTCATCTGGTCCAACACCAATGGAGACTAGGCTCTAAGGAAAGCTGTCTCGGGTGTGGACCAATCAACTTCAAGGACAGTGCATATCATTATCAGAGTTGTTTTCTTTTTGTTTGCATTTTGATTACTTTTGTTGTGGTTATTGCAAACATGATGCCTTGTATAAAGGTGTCAGTTTTGTACCAGTTTAAAAGGTAAAAACCTACTACTATATTTTGCCACTGGTAAAGGTCTCAGTGTAAATGCTTACCCCGAGCTCTCACTACTCTGATAGTGCACTGTTTTTGAGTTGTACGCCTTTTGGTGTCATCTGGTCCAACACCAATGGAGACTAGGCTCTAAGGAAAGCTGTCTCGGGTGTGGACCAATCAACTTCAAGGACAGTGCATATCATTATCAGAGTTGTTTTCTTTTTGTTTGCATTTTGACTACTTGTGTTGTGGTTATTGCAAACATGATGCCTTGTATAAAGGTGTCAGTTTTGTACCAGTTTAAAGGGTAAAAACCTACTACTATATTTTGCCACTGGTAAAGGAGGTCTCATTGAGTAAATGCTTACCCCGAGCTCTCAATACTCTGATAGTGCACTGTTTTTGAGTTGTACGCCTTTTGGTGTCATCTGGTCCAACACCAATGGAGACTAGGCTCTAAGGAAAACTGTCTCGGGTGTGGACCAATCAACTTCAAGGACAGTGCATATCATCATCAGAGTTGTTTTTTTTTTGCATTTTGACTACTTGTGTTGTGGTTATTGCAAACATGATGCCTTGTATAAAGGTGTCAGTTTTGTACCAGTTTAAAGGGTAAAAACCTACTACTATATTTTGCCACTGGTAAAGGAGGTCTCAGAGTAAATGCTTACCCCGAGCTCTCAATACTCTGATAGTGCACTGTTTTTGAGTTGTACGCCTTTTGGTGTCATCTGGTCCAACACCAATGGAGACTAGGCTCTAAGGAAAGCTGTCTCGGGTGTGGACCAATTAACTTCAAGGACAGTGCATATCATTATCAGAGTTGTTTTCTTTTTGTTTGCATTTTGACTATTTGTGTTGTGGTTATTGCAAACATGATGCCTTGTATAAAGGTGTCAGTTTTGTACCAGTTTAAAGGGTAAAAACCTACTACTGTAACTGCATATTTAGATAACAATGCTGCTGTATTCTTTGGTTCTTTCGGTAAAGTCACATAGAAAAACACTCACGACGTTTCGATTGCAACACAAGCGGTCGTCATCAAGTGGAGAATTTTATTTTATTTTCAAAAAAATTTAATTTATTTTCTATCTACGTAACTTTACAGAAATAACCAAATAATATGAATTTTTCTGCAGTCACAAAAGTTTTAAGTCAAAATTTAATGCTGCTGTAATTGTAACTTAAATTGTGTGCAGGCCCAGCCGGAAGGCAGCCAAATTAACCATGCTGTTGAATACATAACCGAGTGCGTGTATCTGGGTAAATCAGTTGGACTGGAATCAAAATTATGGAATAAGAGGTAATTGAGAGCTGGATGGAGTGCAACTGCAAAATTGTATTTCGATTTAAAGCTTTTGTGACTGCAGGGATTTATCTTCTTGGTTCTTTGATTGTGTTCACGTTTACGGTGACTTTCAGACCGCAGTCCACTCACTGGCATTGACTATATATCTTTTATTCTCCGCAGGGAATGGATTCTTTGCTCCGCTGCAAGTCTCCTACCACCACTCTCCCATTGACATATTTCGTTGCTTTCTCTTAGTACCTTTCACGCGACGGTCAATGGTATAGTGTATAGCAGATTGTATAATAATAAATAGTATAAAAGTGTAATGTTTCATATAATGTATAAGGTAATATATAGTATCGTAATTGCATAGTGAATATACAGCAGTGTGGTATACAGTACGGTGGGTAGAATAATACATAGCGTACTATTACAATGTATAGTCTAAGGTATAGGGTGGTGTATAGTAATACAGTATATAATTTAATGTTGGGTTTGTCTATGGCAGTATATAGTACGGGGTAGACCCGTGTGATGTAAGAGAAAAAAGTTTAGCTGGAGGCATATATATTTTTTGCGACATAAAATTGTAATGTATGACTTACTGTTAGTAGCTCAGCTTATTGGAGAGTATATTTAGTATATTGATGATACTGATGTAGTTCATATTTTAGTTTTTTTACGTGGTGGTTTAGTTGCTGCAGCTCCATACCATTAACATTTCTTCCCTTTATTACTGCTAACCCTACACCCTCCCTTTGATGCTGCTAATCCTGCATAATGCACGGGCATAATGACTTTGAAACCCCCCGCCCACCTCCTACGCATTCCACAAGTAGTGACTAATCCCATATCTGCATTTCCCATAAATATTCTAAATTCCTCTTGATATGCAAATTCCTTTGTCAAGGCGCTCTTCCCCCTCCAACCCAGCTTAAATATACGCTGCCAAGCCTAGTGGTGTTCATTCAGACGCTGTCTTTCTGACAGACCTGTTCTTCACCTGAGGACGGCTGCTTGCGTTGTGGCCGAAACGTCGTGAGAATTATTTTATAATGTTAAATTTTTATTATTTTATTATTTCCCTTCTACGTGACTTTACCGAAAGAACCAAGAAGATGCAAAATTGTATTTTACCATTAAAAGCAACAAACCAAAGTTCCTAAATCATAAAGTTTTAATCAGTGAATATTATCTGCCATGACATATGAATCATAAAGATAGATTATGAAACAGAATATAAACAAAAGCTGAAAAGTACAGAAAAAGGATGATGAGAAGCATGCTGGGAATCACACGGAGAAACATAATTTTTCTCTTTCAGTAAGGTCAGTATATTAGCACACGTGCTGTAGTGCAGATAATATACATGAGCACACACACATGTTGTAGTACAGGGAATGTATAACATACAGACTATATATATGGTACAGAGAATGTATAAGACACACACATGCTGTAGTATAGGGAATGTATAAGATGCACACACACACACGCTGTGATATAGGGGAAGTATAAGACACGCACACACAGGGAGTGGTTGGGCTGGCACGTACATGCTGTAGTGCATGATGGAGCTGCAGTCATAGGGGGCGGACATGTCATGCGCGTGTGATTTCTTAGTGAAGATTTGACTGTGCCATTCTGAAAAGAAACACGGTCTAACATGTTAAACCTTCTTTGTCACATTCGCTATGAATATTATCGGTCTGATTTGTAATTTATTTTTGGGTGAGGCCACGTAATGATCTGGCAAAATTTGTATCAAAAGGCTCACCACCACCCGACACAGCCAAACAAATTAAATTGTCACATAGTGACAAGCGTGTAACGCATAAATTATTATTGTTTCAGCTCAGGGTTAGGTGAAGAACATTTAGCACAACCACATTTAGCAATCAGATGCCACGTTTCACTTCAAACTGTCAAGCATATTCAGGAAAATCCAGGAAGTCGGAACTTCCCCTGCACCCAACCCGGTTTCTAAAATGGGTGTTGTAGCACCACAGAAACAGCCAATCAGATGTATCAGATTTCTAAATGAACAATAAATTAAAGTTAAAATTGCCACCGTTTATAAAATTAAATTCGAATAAATTTGTAATAGTTAATTATTAAAACAATTAATAAAATTAAATAAATGAAAACTAAATTAAATCACGTTTCGGAGGCAACACAAGCCTCCCTCATCAGGTGTAAAAAGGTACAGCAAAATAACTGTAGCGCGAGTTATTTGTGATGAGACATTGTTATATAGGATAAGAGGAGGGGGAGGAGCCAAGGAGGACGGGCGCAGGATGAGGGGGAGGGGGTTGGGGTGTGGGTGGAGCCAGGAAGGTGATAGAGAAGGAGGACGGAGCCCCGGATGGGGGAGGGGGGACGCAGAGCGGGGGAGAGTCACGGTTGAGGTTTAACATGGTTAATCACATCTTTCCAATGATTGCTCAATTTGAATCCATCTTCTCGGTTGATGTTATGTCTATGTTTGTACATCTGTATAGCCTCATGGACAAATCTTTGGTGGTATCCAGACGGCTTGCAGAGTACCTTGGTATCAGAGAAAACAATATCATGATCACCCACAGCGTTGTAACAATGATCAGCAACGGCCGAAGAATTCGTTTTGCCGTGTTTCAAATCTGATTTGTGCTCGCGAATTCGGTCTGAAATATGTCGTTTCGTCTCCCCGATGTAGCAGTCACTACAGGTACAACTCAATTTGTACTGTAAATCCGGAATGACATCCTTTACGGATTGGATCAGATCACGGATTTTGTGTACTGTATTGAACCGGACATGGATCTTGTGTTTGTTTAGAATTTTGGAAATATTTTTGGTAACGCCTGCTATGTACGGCAGCGTGATGATTTTGATCGGAGTATCAGGTGGTTGTCTCTGCATGGTAGGAGAAACAGCTTGGCGGATAGTACGGTCTGAGTATCCGTTCATCTTGAGGGCCAGATGTACATTATTTTGCTGTGCCTTTTTACACCTGATGAGGGAGGCTTGTGTTGCCTCCAAAACGTCGTGATTTGTTGTTTTCATTTATTTTATTTCATTAATTGTTTTACCTACGTGACTTTACCGAAAAAACCAAAGAGTATGAATCCTTGCAGTCAAGAAAGCTTCAAATCTAGAGTTAATTATTATTTTTAATTTGAAGAATATTTGTAGTCAAATGGGAAGGCCAGTCTGCTCAGTACAATTCTATTAAACAAAACAATAAACTGTGAACACATTTACAACCTAGCATCATTTGAGAGGGTGGCACGCTGCTATATTGTGCTTCCAATCATTACAAATGAGACTTGCCTTCTTGCCCGCTAGGGGTGTCAGGGAGGTGAGTTGTGTTCTTAGGTTTTTTCGGTAAAGTCATGTAGGTAAAAAAAATAAATTAATAAAAGTAAAATAAAACAAAATAAAAATTCACGACGTTTCGGAAGCAACACAAGCCTCCGTCTTCAGGTGGAACCGTCACAGCCACGACAGCTGTATCAAGTAAATGAGAGATCACAAGAAATACCAACCCGTATATATAATGGTTGAGGGGGGAAGGGCCAGGAACGGCACACTTTTTTTTTATTAATATGGTAAGGTGAGGCTTAAGACTAAGAATAGACTGCATAACAAAGGACTGAGCCTTTGTTATGGAGAGGTGCGGTTTGTAACTAACACCTAGCATACATAACAAAAGTGTGAAAAAAGAAAGCAAGTAAGAACTAAAACTGGTGAAACAACAAACTGGCTGTCTATCAATAACCTGTAATAGTTGTCTGTTAAATAAGATGGTCCAAATAAGTGTAGTTACATCTTTTTTGCATGGTTAATCACATATTTCCAATGATTACTCAGTTTGTAACCCTCATCACGGTTGAAATTGTGTCTGTGTTTGTATATTTGTATGGCTTCGTGTACAAACCTTTGATGGTAGCCAGGAGGTGTGCAGAGCACCTTGGTCTCGGAAAAGACAATTTCATGAGAGCCCACAGAGTTGTAGCAATGATCGACAACAGCCGAACTGATTCTTCGGCTGTTGCCGATCATTGCTACAACTCTGTGGGCTCTCATGAAATTGTCTTTTCCGAGACCAAGGTGCTCTGCAAACCTCCTGGCTACCATCAAAGGTTTGTACACGAAGCCATACAAATATACAAACACAGACATAATTTCAACCGTGATGAGGGTTACAAACTGAGTAATCATTGAAAATATGTGATTAACCATGCAAAAAAGATGTAACTACACTTATTTGGACCATCTTATTTGACAGACAACTATTACAGGTTATTGATAGACAGCCAGTTTGTTGTTTCACCAGTTTTAGTTCTTAATTGCTTTCTTTTTTCACACTTTTGTTATGTATGCTAGGTGTTAGTTACAAACCGCACCTCTCCATAACAAAGGCTCAGTCAGTCCTTTGTTATGCAGTCTATTCTTAGTCTTAAGCCTCACCTTACCATATTAATAAAAAAAAAGTGTGCCGTTCCTGGCCCTTCCCCCCTCAACCATTATATATACGGGGTGGTATTTCTTGTGATCTCTCATTTACTTGATACAGCTGTCGTGGCTGTGACGGTTCCACCTGAAGACAGAGGCTTGTGTTGCTTCCGAAACGTCGTGAATTTTTATTTTGTTTTATTTTACTTTTATTAATTTATTTTTTTTACCTACATGACTTTACCGAAAAAATCTAAGAATATGAATCCTTGCAGTCACGAAAGCTTCAAATCTACAAGGTGAGTTGTGGTACCACTAGATTAATTGTCGTGATTAGGGTTCTGATTCCATTCAAGAATAGGTAATTTTTTTAACAATCTGTTTAATGCAGTGGCCTCCAGTGGCTGCAGGCGGTTACTGAACTCATCCAAAAAACATATGAATTTATAAATGTTGTTTATTTTACACACATCCATGCGTGTATTGTTAGCTAAATAATTAATATGGATTAATTGATCCATCATTGCACCGCTAGTGCCCAGACGCGGACAGTAGAGGAGGATCGGCACTCATAGTACCAGAGGCAGTTCGGAAGCAACAGTCACAGGTGATGCTCATCCTGCACTGAGAGATGGAGTCACATTGTCCCTCTCACCGGGCTTCATGTTCTCTGGCACCACCCAGACGTGGTCGTCGCGGTCACTGCGGCAGTGCTCGTGCTGGAAGCCGAGCGCGTGCATCAACTCGTGCAGAACCGTGCCCTTGGTTACCTTCCCGGGCTCCAGGGACAGATCCTGGGCTCCCCCCTGCCTCCCCACGTACGACCAGCTCTTGCTGAGAGACCTGAAAGCAGGAGTCATCCATTGGATCACGTGATTATTTTAAATACATTTAGATAAAGTATATTTCAGATTTTTATGTAAATGGGACAATGAGTTTGCATGTAATAGTAGAGTCCCTAAACTAAAGAGTACAGAAGAGTGAAGTTGTCATTTTATGACACCCACCACTGCTGTAAACTAGAAATGTAATTTGTTCTTCCAGACAAAATGAGTTTACATCCGAAGCAAAACCTTCTCACGAGACGTAAAAGGTCCTGAAATTCTCTTCAATTAGGCTAAAATATATTCCACTGGTGGAGGAGGGTGTACGGCACACACTTTACTCATGTGATCTAACACGTACATTTATTTTTAATCAATATTCCACTGACAACAATAAACTCTCTTCAGCTAAGATGTGATTTTAGATGCATAGTCACTGTGTAAGATGAGCACATTCAAGACCAAAATCAGAATCTCTATTTAGACTGGATGAATCCCATGAGCTATGAAGCACTTTTTCCCTCCACACCTCTGGCAATGGCCATAGGGACCACACAACGTGTTGGGATGGCTGTGGTGAGGCAGAGCAGGTACAGCTTGTGGAATTACAAAGATCTATGTCAACATGATTGAGTGCTGAATGAGAATTCCAGATGTGAGTACTGGCTGTGAATTATTAAAGTATTGTACAGTATATGGGTATTGGATGTGAAATCCTCACCCCTCCAAGGCCTGGATATGAATGAAATCCGTCTCTTTGCCATGAGGGCGGAATCGCATGTAGGTTTTCTTCTCAAACTCCTCTACAGCCTGCTCGATGGCTTTCACATCGTAGTCATCTGCAAGACAGTGAGGCATTTCATATCAGTTCACTTCAATGCAATTTTTATGCATTGTCCACAATGAAGTCATTCATATTTATTATCATCATGGGGGGGGGGGGGGGTTAATATAAAGTATTATTACAATGCTTCCTATTTATATGCACATGTTAGGGTCCATTAGACCAGGACCTACATACTACATGTGGGTGCAAGGAAAATATTTGGTGGAACTGTAGCAGCTGACATCAAATGATAGCTGCGAGTAGCACCCTATTGTGTCAATAGCTCAGGTCATCATGGCGATGCCACTGATGCTGTTAAGTCAACAACCAACCTTCAATGTCTCCAGCATCTGGTTGTTGGTCTGACTGCGAGTCTCTTGGTAAAGGCAAATGCACATTAAGAGGCAAACATAATCTAAAATTCAGCTGTCCTAATGAGACGAGTATTGATAAAACCCTTAAGGTAAACTTTGCACGCTACTATAACCAATGCACGAGTATTGACATTCCGTGGATTTAAAGCAATAATAAAACATGTCAAAGAAGCCTCTCCATAGAGCACTAACACACTGACAGTTCATGAGGTCAATGCGACACTTACAGAAGTCCTTGGACACCTTGTAGGGGATGTACACACGGCCATCGCCACTCTTCGGCCAGTGCCTGACTGGGTGTGAGAGGCTGCTCTCCTTGACTCCACACCCGGTGAATTCTGAAGCCGGAGCGAGAGAGGGGGGGGGCAGACAGCTCACGCAGGACGCTCTTCTCGCACAGCCTGGGCTTGCCGTGAGTTGGGACACCGGCCTGCAAGCTCGTGTCGCATACAGCATCAGAATTGATGGACGATGCTGTGCTTCAACTTCACCCACACAGCACAGCCACTACTAACGCTCTAATGTACTTGCAATGAACATGTAATTATGAATATTTGGTGGGAGACAAAAATTAGAAAATGGAAAGTCATTTGCATATCTCAAATTTAATGGCATGAACAAAAGCCCCACCGAAAATATTTGCTTTTGGGACTGGTGTGATAGGGACAAGCGGCCCAGAGGATTCTACGCTGCGCTACTATGGCCAATGTTAACATCATTCACGTATGTATGTACGTATGTTGAACTTGTTTCGCACCGTACTTAGATAACCGTGATAATTGGAGGTGAGGGGGAAGGACAACAAATTAAAAAAAAAAAGCAGTTCAAAATAAATTAGTTTTCAATCTAAAAAATTAGTTTCACGAGAAAAAACCCTTCACTGACTCACACTGGCCAGCGTGGTAAAGTATGGTCAAACAATCCCCTTGACCACTATGGGAACCTCATTTGCCAGTAAAAATATGATAATTGGTTGTTTACCCTTCTATCTGGCAACAAAAATGACACCTTTTTACAAGGAGTCATGTTTGCGTAGACCGCAATACCTGCAGTCATAATACAAACAAAAGACATAACTCTGATAATGTGCACTGTCCTTGAAGTTGATTGGTCCACACCCGAGACAGCTTTCCTTAGAGCCTAGTCTCACATGGGTTGGACCAGATGACGCCAAAAGGCGCACAACTCAAAGACAATGTACCATCAGAGTATGAGAGCTCAGGGCAAGCATCTACACTATGGGAACCTCATTTGCCAGTAAAAATATGATAATTGGTTGTTTACCCTTCTATCTGGCAACAAAACTGACACCTTTTTACAAGGAGTCATGTTTGCATAGACCGCAATACCTGCAGTCATAATACAAACAAAAGACATAACTCTGATAATGTGCACTGTCCTTGAAGTTGATTGGCCATCACAGCCTGGGGAGGGCTGTACATTAGGTAATGGTTAATGTAGGCTGATCAAGAAGGGCGCTGCGTTCACTGCACTGGGCACATGGAAAAGGTGGATTCCTCCCGTGGGCCCCGTGAACCTGAACAAGGCCCCGTGGTGCCTACCTTTCTCTTTCTTCTCCAGAACCTGGGGAAGCTGAAATAAAATAAGGCAATAACAATAAGGCACAAAGAACTAACCATGAATGAAATGTATTTTATTATTGCCCAGAAAAGCTTTTCTCATGACTCTTTCCAGGTTTTCAGGAGGGCCCTGGCAAGGTTTCGCACTAGGAGGTGATGATTGCTGAGTATAATTCAAATTGAGTAATTTGCAGGTAACCATTCCAAATTTGGCAAATTTGGACGATGTCATCAGCACACTATTGCCTCCTCTTGTGGATTACGTCACGTGATCTCTAACGCCCACTGTCAAGCAGACGGCATGTATTTTAAAGTTAATACACCAGCAGTATGAATCAGGGTGGCCGCTGGATTTGAACTGTGAACCTCTGTAACAAGCGGCAAATTACCTACCGCTGGGCTGCGTCACCATGGCGAGTGTTACGAGGGTTTATATGGGACAGCTGAGGCTGTAGGTTTGCTTCACTATAAGTAAAACATTTTCTTTAAAAGTCAGGCGATGTTCTGCCTATATTATGGAATGTTGCTGCAGATCTCACCGTTATTTTGTGGCTTGAGACACTAGCATCTCTGGACACAGCGCTGGCTCCTGCTGGGGTAACACAGAGAGAGCAATCAGCGCACACACTCGTGCAGAGTGCAAATGGGCAGGATCGCCACTCTCACTGCTTGATGACGTCTGATAAAGGTGCACACGCCTCATCCCACAACAGTGCCATCAACATAGCCTTGGTAAATCTCACGTGCAGACCACAGAGTCCAGCCTCAGTGCCTGAAACCACCAAAATCTGCAATTCCCCAACCAAGGTCTGAGCTGGGAACTTGCACGATGCGAAAGCTTGGGTCCAATGGCCTATTTCTATTTGTATGTTTCTGCAACCTCTGCCCTACTCTTTGGTTCTTTCGGTAAAGTAACGTAGGTAAAAAATGTAATAGATCACGTTTCTATCACAAACCTCTCTCTCCCTAATCCCCCATTAATCCCCCACTAACACAACTGAGGTGCTTGCCACCGCTTGTTTGCCCATTGCCACATATATAGCCTTGTTGTAGCTGCTCTCTCGCTAGTTTAGCAGTTCCACTGCTGGATTATATTTTTTCCGCCTGAGGACGACCGCTTGTGTTGCGATCGAAACGGCGTGATTTATTTTATTTCTACCTACATGACTTTACCGAAAGAACCAAAGAGTATGGATTCCTGCAGTCACGAAAGCTTTAAATTAAAATCTCTGCCCTATTAAAGGCTGTAGACAACGCATAAGCATGGTACTAAACAAATTGGAAGACAAAACGCCCGTGGCCACAGCGGTGTTCAAGTGGACACCACAAAAGCTTGAGTCCATCACTCACGTTCCTCAGGAGCCTACTCACCCTACCTACGTGTTTGGAGCCAACCCATTGGCAACCCTAAGCAGTGACATTTTGGGTGCTTTGGGTGACTACGCACATGATATGCTAGACAAGCTACTCACATAATTATATCACAGTTGTGTTACATTATGATTGTCCTATACTAATTGCAGTAAATATTACTTAAATATTGGAATCATAATTATCTGTTTATTTATTTATCGGAGTTTGAGGTGTTATTTGAATACATCCTCGTTTGTCATCATTCTGGAGCTGCTTGCAGCCCTAACCCTACGATTAGTTTGCTCGCCTAGCACCACAATTGTTCACCTGAAATGCCTTGAAGTTCCCATAGACTCTGTCCAAACATAATGAACATAATAAAGTCTACAAATCGAACCCAAATTTCCTCCACATATCTGTCAGACAGCAACATTTTCACTAGTATCACCGAAACACGCACTGGCATTCCCTTAAGCACAGTTGGGTGTGCTTGTTTATCCTATCAATGGGACGCTTTGTTTGCCAGTATCAAGACGATAATAGATACAACTGCTCAACCCGAGATATTAATGCCGTGATATTTGCATTGTCTTTGTGGTTGCCTTTTGGCATTATCTGGTCTAACACTGTTGAGACAAGGCCATAAAGGAGACTGTCTCTGGTGTAGTCCAATCGGTTTCAAGGACAATGCGTACATTACCAAAGCACGTTTATTCGCATGTGTTACCACAAGCATGTGTGATTATTGCAGACTTCGTACCTCATCATGCGTGTCTATTTAGTATTTGAACATCTCAACACTGGGTAAATCCTATTCGTTTTTAATATTTAT